ACATCAACAAAGCCAAGTGACGCAGCACAAAACGTAACGCGTGGCTGGTCGCAGGCGATATCACGATTCATAATTGATTCACGCGTTAGGCCGCGTAATCATCCTGACGAATTTGTGTCAAGAGCCCTCCACCACCCGACGCGGCCAAACAAATGAAATTGTCACGAGGTGTAGAAGCGTGTCACGGAGCTCCAGTCGTTATCATTTGAGCTCACTCACCAGTGAAGTTATTATTGTTTCAGGTCACTCACCAGCGAAGTCGTTATTGTATTATCTCACTGACCGATTAAGTTGTCACCGTTTTATCACTGGGATTTTTGCACACAGTGTTGGTGTACAGTGCTTTATCTGCAATATTTTGCTGTCTTTTCTTGGATTTTCTGTCTGCACATAGTCACTTTAAGATGTTTTCTTGTTCATGTTTTTGTTTTTTTGTTTGTTGCAGTTGCACCCGATTCAAGAGCCGAATGGCTCACAGGGCTATACCTAATAAATGCAACTTGTTCACCAGCAAGGAAGTTATTGTTTCAGCTCACCGGTACATCTCCACACGTACTGGATGCACGTGTGACTGTGGTGGCAGGACACAAGCAGAAGACCGGTTAAAAGTTGAATAAACTAAGTCCCACGACAAAATTGAACAATTAGATCCTCCAATGTAATTCTCTGAGTAGGAGAAACTTCATCGTGAACTCACCAAAAGTCGGGACCCAAAATTCACTACTCGCATTCAACGGCCACACATATTTCATATTTAACAAAGCTGCCGACCATCGTTCTTCCGAAGGGAAAGTCACGAGCCGACATCATTCTTTTCGACAACCACATCACCGCAGGTGTCCGACACGCGCACCGGACAATGTGGACTTTTAGGGCAGGAGTGCGACTTGGTACCGCCCAAAGGTATCGGACTGTTCCACGTACCCGACCCTATATAATTATACGGCCAAATGTTACGAGTGGATTGCTTGATGACTCCACTCCCATCATTCACTGGTACTGTACTGGCCACGTGAAGAAATTGGAACGGCTCGAGTTAATTGTGCCACTCTAAGATGTTCATGAAAAGTGGAATAAGTGTCTGGCTCATGGACTACTTGTACCGGAGCCGACTCTAAAATAAAACAGGGGCTATCCGCAAACAGCGAATTTGAGTATGCCATCTTATTGAAATATCTCACCTAGATAAACCACCTTGGGTGGTGACGAGTCGCAAAAACAACGCTCGCATCGACAAACATTTAAAACCTACAACTTATGTATATATATTTATATGCACGGTGCAAGTCTGTGTTTATACAATGACAGATCCAGGAGCACGCGTGTCTCTCTGTCCGGGCAAATCATCCGAAACGACTCAACGAAAGGGAATGTGTTTAATGGCATTTGAAAGATAATGAATGGGGATGTTATTCAGCCTTTGAGCCGACCGTGCCCGCTGTATCTGCTCTAACATTTTAAATATAGCCCTATCAAAATCATACAACGGATAGGCCACGTGTCATTTGGGAGGGAGAGAAGGGGTATGGGGTGGAAACAGCCTTTGGGTCTCATTACAGCATCGGCTTCACAATGGTGAGTGTCAGGTGAGAGTGATGGCTGGTGAGCGGTGAGTGTCAGGTGAGTGGTGAGGGTCAGGTGAGTGGTGAGGGTCAGGTGAGTGGGTGAGTTGTGAGGTGAGTGGTGAGGGTGAGGTCAGTGGTGAGGGTGAGGTGAGGGTTAGGTGAGTGGTGAGGTTCAGTGAAGTTGAGTGGGGAGGGTGAGGTGAGTGGGTGAGTGGTGAGTGGTGAGGGTGAGGTGAGTGGTGAGGGTGAGGTGAGTGGTGAGGGTGAGGTGAGTGGGTGAGTGGTGAGTGGTGAGGGTGAGGTGAGTGGTGAGGGTGAGGTGAGTGGGTGAGTGGTGAGTGGTGAGGGTGAGGTGAGTGGTGAGGGTGAGGTGAGTGGGTGAGTAGTGAGGGTTAGGCAAGTGGGTGAGTGGTGAGGGTGAGGTGAGTGGTGAGGGTTAGGCAAGTGGGTGAGTGGTGAGGGTTAGGCAAGTGGGTGAGTGGTGAGTGTTCAGGTGAGGGGGGGGTGAGGTGAGGGGCAGGTGAGTGGTTAGGGTGAGGTGAGTGGTGAGGTGAGTGGTGAGGGTCAGTGAAGTTGAATGGTGAGGGTTAGGCAAGTGGGTGAGTGGTGAGTGGTGAGGGTGAGGTGAGTGGTGAGGGTTAGGCAAGTGGGTGAGTGGTTAGTGTTCAGGTGAGGGGGGTGGTGAGGGTGAGGTGAGGGGCAGGTGAGTGGTGAGGGTGAGGTGAGTGGTGAGGGTTAGGCAAGTGGATGAGTGGGTGAGTGTTCAGATGAGGTGAGTGGTGAGGTTCAGTGAAGTTGAGTGGTGAGGGTGAGGCAAGTGGTGAGTGGTGAGGTGAGTGATGAGGGTTAGGCAAGTGGGTGAGTGGTGAGTGGTGAGGTGAGGGGGGTGGTGAGGTTCAGTGAAGTTGAGTGGTGAGGGTGAGGCAAGTGGTGAGTGGTGAGTGGTGAGGTGAGTGATGAGTGTTCAGGTGAGGGGGGTGGTGAGGGTCAACAGCTATCACTTGTAGCCAGGTCGCTTCTGGAAGATCAGTCAATACCTCAGTGGGGGCTTTACTTGGTGAGATAAAACTGTTTTATCTGAATACACTTAAAGTTCTTTGTTTTTCTTGCCGATACTTTGTTGTTTTTGTACTGCTTGTTGTGGCAACGTTCTGACCACGCTCCGACCGGACATTTGTGGAGGGGGGAGGGAGCTTTATAGCACATCGTATTCCTCGAGGATAAACAAACGAGTTGATGGCTGGCGGTGAGTGTCAGGTGAGGAGGGTGGTGAGGCTCAGGCAAGTGGGTAAGCGGTGATGGGGGGTCAGGTGAGTGTCAGGTGAGCGGTAGGTCGCCCCGTTCCCAGGACCAGGTCACCCAGGGGGGGGTGGAGGGACGCTGTCGGAGTTTTTTTCCACGCCACCAATCCTCCTGTCATTCGCGCGTCCCCTGATCGCCGTCGATGTTTGTAGAAAAATGCGATGTGTCTGTCCGAATCGTTGTAAGTTAGGGGAGTCGTTGCGCTCGCTTTATACGTTGCCTCGTATTTAGTGTTTTTATATTTCATACTGTACGTGCGCTTTTACTACCGAACAGCCCCCAACCCCTCCCTTACCCCCCCCCCCCGCGTTTACCCCCTCCCCAATTAGCCCCCTCCCCCGTTTACCCCCCATTTAGCCCCTCCCCTTTTAGCCCCTCCCCCGTTTACCCCCCATTTAGCCCCTCCCCTTTTAGCCCCTCCCCCGTTTACCCCCCATTTAGCCCCTCCCCTTTTAGCCCCCTCCCCCGTTTACCCCCCATTTAGCCCCTCCCCTTTTAGCCCCTCCCCCGTTTACCCCCCATTTGGCCCCTCCCCTTTTAGCCCCCTCCCCCGTTTACCCCCCATTTAGCCCCTCCCCTTTTAGCCCCTCCCCCGTTTACCCCCCATTTAGCCCCTCCCCTTTTAGCCCCCTCCCCCGTTTACCCCCCATTTAGCCCCTCCCCTTTTAGCCCTCCCCCGTTACCCCCCATTTAGCCCCTCCCCTTTTAGCCCCCTCCCCCGTTTACCCCCCCATTTAGCCCCTCCCCTTTTAGCCCCCTCCCCCGTTTACCCCCCATTTAGCCCCTCCCCTTTTAGCCCCCCCCCGTTTACCCCCCATTTAGCTCCTCCCCATTTAGCCCCCATTAGCCCCCCAGTTTACCCCCCATTAGCTCCTCCCCATTTACCCCCCATTTAGCCCCTCCCCATTTACCCCCCATTTAGCCCCTCCCCATTTACCCCCCATTTAGCCCCTCCCCATTTACCCCCCAATTAGCCCCTCCCCATTTACCCCCCATTTAGCCCCTCCCCATTTACCCCCCATTAGCCCCTCCCCATTTACCCCCCATTTAGCCCCTCCCCATTTACCCCCATTTAGCCCCTCCCCATTTACCCCCATTAGCCCCTCCCCATTTACCCCCATTTAGCCCCTCCCCATTTACCCCCCATTTAGCCCCTCCCCATTTACCCCCCATTTAGCCCCTCCCCATTTACCCCCCATTTAGCCCCTCCCCATTTACCCCCCATTTAGCCCCCTCCCCATTTCCCCCCCAATTAGCCCCTCCCCATTTCCCCCCCATTTAGCCCCTCCCCATTTACCCCCCATTTAGCCCCTCCCCATTTACCCCCCATTTAGCCCCTCCCCATTTACCCCCCAATTAGCCCCTCCCCATCTCCCCCCCAATTTAGCCCCTCCCCATTTACCCCCATTTAGCCCCTCCCCATTTCCCCCCATTTAGCCCCTCCCCATTTACCCCCATTTAGCCCCTCCCCATTTACCCCCCATTTAGCCCCTCCCCATTTACCCCCCATTTAGCCCCTCCCCATTTACCCCCCATTTAGCCCCTCCCCATTTACCCCCCATTTAGCCCCTCCCCATTTACCCCCTATTTAGCCCCTCCCCATTTACCCCCCATTTAGCCCCTCCCCCCATTTAGCCCCTCCCCGTTTACCCCCTATTTAGCCCCTCCCCATTTACCCCCCATTTAGCCCCTCCCCATTTACCCCCTATTTAGCCCCTCCCCATTTACCCCCCATTTAGCCCCTCCCCCCATTTAGCCCCTCCCCATTTACCCCCTATTTACCCCCTCCCCCCATTTAGCCCCTCCCCGTTTACCCCCCCGCCCCCGCCCGCACTTTGAATGCCCCCGATCGTGTCGGTTCCCGGGAGCTAAGCAGGGCTGAGCCAGGCGAGTGCTTGGATGGGTGACCGCCAGTGCTTGCCAGGTGCTACAGGTTGCGAGCGACAGGCGGTGAGGTGCCACCATGTGGCGGCAGCACGGCAACGGGCCGAGTCTGCGTTCACGTTGAATGTTGGATAATTGAATCGTAGCCGTTGAGGACAATTTGGGCGTTGTTCCCTTGTAACTGGTCGGTTCTTTACCGGACACGCCAATCTCCTCCCACGTGCGAACCCTCGCCACTGTTGGCGATAATCATCATCGACGCGATAAACACAATTTGTAACGCGGAAATATTCTGCGAATCTGGCGCGGTGTTCGATGGGGAACTCCGGAGGCGCGGAGCCAGAGCTCAAAGTTCCTCGTGCACCAACCTGGGCAGGTGTGAGTCTGGGCAGGTGAGAGCCTGGGCAGGTGAGAGCCGTGACGGGTTAGAGTCTAAACCAGGTGAGAGCCTCGATGGGTAAGAGCCTGGATCAGGTGAGAGCCTGAACCAGCTAAGAGTCTGAATGAATGATAGCCTGAACAGGTGAATGCTGGACAGGTGAGAGCCTAGACCAGATGAGAGCCTGGACCAAGTGAGAGCCTTGAGCCGCTACTTGAAGGTGGATGACGGTGACTTGATGGTGGTGCTGCTGCTGCTGCTGCCGCTGTGCGTGGTGCAGCTATGGAGAAACGTCACTCAGCCAGGGGCATGGTAGATTGTCGGTGGTGTATTCTTAGTTTTTTTCCGGTAAAGTCGCGTAGGTAAAAAAATTAAAATTAATAAAAGTTAAATAAAATAAAAATCACGACGTTTCGGAGGCAACACAAGCTTCCGTCTTCAGGTGGAACCGTCACAGGTGTGCCCGTAGGGAGCGGCTGTTTGCTGTGGTCGTCGGAGTGAGGAGCAGAGGGGTACGACGGGAGACCTTGAGCAAGCGCCCCGGTGGCACGGGTTGACGATTGCGTAACGTCTCGTTGATTTACGACCAAATATGCCAATGCGGGGATTGGCTCAGGAATAGCCTGGAGTGGAGTTTTCCTGGATATATATATGACTGGCATTCTAATCGTTTTGCTGTTCTATTCTCAATGTTTAAACCCGATGTCCCGTTGGAAAAATAGCCTCGTGGTTCTCAAATATCGAGTAGCTAATCATGAATATGAATAATAATAAGTAAATTTCGATTTAAAGCTTTCGTGACTGCAGGGATTCATCTTATTCTTAGTTTTTTTCGGTAAAGTCACGTAGGTAAAACATTAGCTGTCAGGCTGTGACGGTTCCACCTGAAGACGGAAGCTTGTGTTGCCTCCGAAACGTCGTGATTTTTATTTTATTTTACTTTTATTAATTGTAATGTTTTACCTACGTGACTTTACCGAAAAAACCCAAGAATATGAATCCTTGCAGTCACGAAAGCTTCAAATCTAGAATTCATCTTATTGGTTCTTTCGGTAAAGTCACGTAGAATGGAAATAATAGAATAATAAAAATAAAACATAATAAAATAAATGCATTCAGACTCTGTCTTATCGACAGACCTGTTCTTCACCTGAGGACGGCTGCTTGCTTGCGTTGTGGCCGAAACGTCGTGAGAATTATTTTATAATGTTTTATTTTTATTATTTTATTATTTCCATTCTACGTGACTTTACCGAAATAACCAAGAAGAATCATAAGTAAGTCACAGCCCGTTTGTCAATCCACTGCTGGATGAAGGCCTGCCCGTGCCATATCGGTCCTGCCATCGGAATATGTAGTTTCCAGGGAGGTTTGCGCAACACCGGCTCAGATATCAATCACGACTGATGTTTGCCTGGGCCACAAATAGAAGGCCTGTGGATAGGTTCATTGGGCGGTGTGCCAATCATTGCTTCACAGCTCCACCCTAAATACAGGTACTGCCACTACCACTTAGGCATAAACTCAGCATGTTATTGTTAAATGTTACTGCCCGGGAGCTAACTTTCTGTATCAATCGTGATTGAGTGACTGCTTTGAAAGATTTACTCGTTTTGGCAGATGGCATATTTTTGCTTAAATAAACTAACTCAAGACGTTCGTTTATTCAAACTATTTTTGGTATTTTGCCCGGTATGGACCACTGAGCTGTATAGAGCTCTTTGTCAGAAACGACCTGGCCACCAACTGACAGCTCATCAACGTGGCTCATCACGTGGAAATGTACAGCAGCCAATCACACTTAAATGCACGATTCTAAATGTCGAGGGAAAAACCGGAGGACCCGGAGAAAAAACCACGCGACCACGTGAAGAGAGTGACACGCAAACTCTAAATATACCGCAGGCGTCAAGGTCGAACACACAACCTCCTGTGTACCAGGCGAGGTAGTTAGCATCTAGCCACCGTGGCCCCCAAGAGCTGTGTGTGTGTGTAGCCTTAAAATAAAAACATAACATACAACGCGTAGGCTTTCGCGACCAGTATTATTCATAATAAAGGCTTTTGGGTTAGATCGCGTTATTATAAATGTGTCACAACCCTCCCACCACCCGATACGGCCAATCAGTAAAAAATGTGTCACGTTGACAAAAGACAAATAGTTCACTACTTTAGCCCACCGGTGTGTTTGAAGAGTGAATCCACAACATTCAGAATTTTAATGTGACGTTTCGCTGGTAATTACATCCAGCATCTTTGGGCGATTTGCCAGAATAGTGAAGGCCATTCATCTGCATCCGGCTCAAATTGAGCAGCAGGGTGACGTCATCATTGTTTAACCGCATCAGGTTTCGAGATCAGAGGCGGAGGTGGGGGTGGTATTGCAATTATGTAATAGATCGGTAATTAGTCACTTAGCATGTGACTCCTCGATAAGGAATTGCAATGTGTGTTGTGTATTACTTAATAATACGCTTCCAGGCTGCGCTGAGTCTGTAGTTATCACAGCGGTTGAGATTTTCTCAATTTCGATTCATTCTCTAATCAGTCTTGACCAGTAATAATTCGTTTTGCATAACACTTCAACGTTATCAAAATCAATTGAATGTCCTTGTTGGCAAGCATGTACGTACTACCTATCTACGTGACTGTACCTAAAAGACCCAAATAATATCACTTAAATTACTTGATACACTAGTAAAGAAGACAGGTTTACCAGAAGATATTCCAAAACCAGCTGACCATTTTTTTTGTTCGATTGTCTAAATAACACTCGTTTCTTATGTAGAAGTGACTTCTTTAAACAAAAGGAACGAGCAGCAATGGGCTCTCCCTTGTCTCCCGCTAGAAGCTTGTGTTAATAACGCGATCTAACCCAAAAACCTTTATTATGAATAACATACGACGTTTTGGGCAACGGCCCTTCTTCATTGAACATAAATGGAAGCGCTGTGGAGTGAGGGATGAAGTGGGGGGGGAGGGAGGGGGTGTTAGCAGGAGGGGGGCAGTATGGAGGGGGAGGCAGGGCAGATGCTTGGAGCAAGGCGTGCAAACACAGGTCAAGTTGCTCGCAGCACCGACGCAATTTCCGCGGTGGCAATTCAGAGGCGAGGTGCTTTTTTTACGGGCGGTGACAGCGGAGACTCCATGGCCCACGGCTCCTGTTTATTGACGCAGTGCGTCTGGGAATAGGTTCACGTGGCACTACCACGTGGACGGCTGTAGCCGCTGGCGTGCACGGGGGTCGGCAAACCTGCCCTCCCAGAGCCGCGTGCCGCTCCTTTCAATGACTGCGGTGCTGCAGGCTCTTGAAATATTGAGGCGGGGGGGGGGGGGTTTATTGTGCCGAATTCGAGAAAAATGGCTCTTCTTGTTATGTTGGTTGCAGGTCCCTGACTATGGGAGTCCAGTTCACCATGGGAGTCCAGTTCATCATGGAGGTCCAGTTCACCATGGGGGTCCAGTTCACCATGGGGGTCCAGTTCACCATGGAAGTCCAGTTTACAATGGGAGTCCAGTTCACCATGGAAGTCCAGTTCACCATGGGACTCCAGTTTACCATGGGAGTTGTTGTTATTCGTGTGTCACGGCATTTGGCCGCCGGGCCACATTCACAATGGGTATTTAGCGCGCGCGCCGCACGCACAGAGAGAGCGAGCGAGAGAGCGAGAGAGGAAAAATAAACTCACGAAATTAGCCGCGAGCCATCGGTGCCGACGGCAGCGGCAACGCAGGACGGCGCTCGGATCGGGTTCGCTCGACGGAATCACGTTGCCGAATGTTGCCGAGCACGTGTTTGAACGCCGAGGAACGACGACCACCACGGGGACAGGTGACGAGAGCTCCGTCTTCTGCTACGATACATAGTATCAACGGGGCACAATTGTGTTGCTTTGGCATTTTGTTGGTTGTTATTCTTTTTTTTTTCGACTTTTCCAATTTGCGCAGCTGTTTCATATTCGGCGTCTGCCAGACTCGGGTTTTTATTCTTGAGTCCGCGCCAGCTGCTGCTGCTGCTGCTACAACGCTGCTAGGCAGGTGCCGGATAAGGTGGGTGAGTGGCCTTGTCGACAGGTACGTCGGTGAGGTGGTTAACTCGATAGGTAAGTTGGGTAGATGGATAGGTGGGTAAGTGGGATGGTACATATACGGATAGGTAGTTATATAAGTAGGGAGGTGGGTGGGCGGGTAGGTAGGTAGTGAATTAGGTAAATAGGTAGATACGTACGTTGATAAGTGATATAGATAGGTGAGTGGGTAGGGTAGGTGGGTATGTGGATAGTTGTGTGGGTATGTCAGTAGATGCGTGTGTGTGAATTTAGTTAGGTAGCTGTTCGCATAGGTAGATATGTGGGTAGATAAATATGTAGGCGTATGAGTAAGTAGGTGTGTGTGTGAATGTAGGCAGATGGCTGCATAAATACGTGGGTAGGCATGTACGTTGGTTATACCACCAACACTGTGGTTATATTCTAGATTTGAAGTTTTCGTGACTGCAAAGATGCATACTCTTGGTTCTTTCGATAAAGTCACGGAGGTAAAGAAAACAACTGTATAACTGTGTTCTTAGGTTTTTTCGGTAAAGTCACGTAGGTAAAAAATTAAAATTAATAAAAGTAAAATAAAATAAAAATATTTAATTTTATGTTTATTTTACTTTTATTAATTTAATTTTTTTACCTACGTGACTTTACCGAAAAAACCTAAGAATATGAATCCTTGCAGTCACGAAAGCTTCAAATCGAGAATGTATAACTGTGGTTATACCACACCCTGTGGTTATACCACACCCTGGTGAAACCACGCACCGTGGTTACACTAGACCAGTGGCTCTTCACCTGGGTTCGATCGAACCCCAGGGGTTCGGTGAGTCAGTCTCAGGGGTTCGGCGGAGGTTTAAGACACACACCCGACTCGTATGATTGTGCACCAGTAAAACATATACCTATGTTTTGAATTTCAAAAAATCATATTTTATTTTTCCAATTAAGAAGGGTTCGGTGAATGCGCATATGAAACTGGTGGGGTTCGGTACCTCCAAAAAGTTAAGAACCACTGCACTAGACTGACGATCCGAACGCTGCACCTCCCCTAAATTCTATAACCTTCATCGGGCCCCCCCCGTGTCTGCTGGGGCCAGGGAACATCTCCCGCACCGCCACCCAGCGCGATCATTCACGCGCCCGCGCGGGGGAAGTTACCGCCGTCCGTTTGACCTCCATTAAGCGGTGACAGGGTAAACAAAGCCCTATGTTTTTTTGTGTGTGTCCATTTTTTTTCTCTTTATTTTTTTTTTCCTTTGGGTGGCTTTTTAAATATTTACCAAGGGGTCACCTTTTTTTACGGAACGCCGTCGTCCCCGGTTATGAGGACTTCATGATGAGCAGCTGCTGCTGCTGCTGCGTATTTGGTACGTGCGTGGGTGTGCGCGCGTGCGTGGGTGTGCGCGCGTGCGTAGTAGTGCAGTGGTCAGCGCTACGCTGCGCTACGAAGCCGACGACCAGAGTTCGATTGCCGCTCACGGCCAACACCGGTGACGGTTATCTGAACCGGTCCTGGGCCTCCCCTAGGTCGACTCGGCCTCAAATGAGTACATGGTGCGGTGCGTAAAAACATCGCCACCGGGGAGAGAAAGTCGGCCGGGCGTGGTGCTGGCCACCCATCCCCTCGTGTGCCGTTCTGGCCTTCGCAGAAGCTCGCTAACAGCACTTGCCTCAACAGTCTGTTAAGGTTATACGGGTGATCTTTGTATTTTTCCTGGCATCTGGTGGAGAGATAATTATCACTTGTCTTCCCTGTTTGACTTTGGCTGCTTTGTGCCCGTTGTTATTGACGGGCGTCGAGTACAAACACCGAGGAAAGAGCAAAGGGGATGTGTGGGAGTTGGGCAAATGTGGCCTTGACATTGCCAAACAAAGGCTCACTCTTTCGAAGGAGATTATTAACAAGAACGAGGAATGTCCAAAACAACAACCACCAGAGCACCCAGCACTACCACGGGAGCACTCAGCACTACCGCTAGACCGCTCACTACTACGCAGAACTACGGCTACCACCCAGTGCCATCCTGCTGGTCTAGGTACGTGCTGCCCGATTAGGTAAGAGAGGTGTATTGCATTGGGCGCCCCTGAGCACAGCGTCTTTATTATTCATCTTACAACAATGCGCCTTTGTGAGAGGATAAAGCGGAGCGTGCTGGCAAATGCACGCGGGGGGGGGGGCGTATTTTGCGTAGAGCTCGCAAGCAGAGAATCGCCTTTTATTCTTTCCGCCCCCAGCCGAGAGAGAAAGAGAGTAACGCGTATTCTTGAAAAATAAAAATGCACGACATTTAAAGGTCGCGTTGCGCAGCACTACCAAGCGAAAAAGACTTTTCGGCTTGCGGGAGAAGGAGCCCCCCCCCCCGCCGCTCGAAGATGCAGAGCCCGGAGCGGCACAGATTTCAACATTCGTGCACCAACCTGTTGGAGGTGGATACGACGGGACGCGCGAGGGCACACGCGGTTGTCACGAGGGAGAGAGAGAGACGAAAAGAGAAGTTTGAATCAACTTCCTACTTTCGCCCGCTTTGCTTTTGTGCCCTAACGTCCGTCCGTCCGTCTGCCCGTCCGTTCCCTTCTCTCTCGCCCGTCCACAGTGGCGCCAGTCCACGCCGACCAGCCGGGACGCTGTCGCTCGCCGTCACGCCGTCGACGGCCGCCAGCGCTGAACTTGCGCGGGGGCAAGGCGGTGGGGGGGGGGGGCAGGCTAAACAAGCGAACGATCCGGGTGGTGGGGTGCGCGCCTCTTCCCGGCGCGACCTCAACGACAGCAATCGAAGGGAGTGCCAGTTTTTTGGGCGGCTGCAGAGGCCACGTGATCCCGTCGTCGCAGACATGAGCGCCGGCAACGGGAGCGTCGCGGGAGGCAGCCTCTACGACGACAACTGCACCTTCGACGAGGAGTTCAAGTACATCCTGCTGCCCGTCTCCTACAGCCTGGTGTTCGTCCTGGGCCTCGTGCTCAACTGCCTCTCCCTGTGGATGTTCATCTTCAAGATCCGCCCGTGGACGCCGGCGACGGTGTTCATGTGCAACCTGTCCGTCTGCGACACGGTGTACGTGGCGTCGCTGCCGCTGCTCGGTGCACTACTACGCCAACCGCAACAACTGGGTGTTCGGCGAGTTCATGTGCAAGGCGGTGCGCTTCCTCTTCTACACCAACTTGTACGGCAGCATCGCGTTCCTCACCGTCATCAGCCTGCACCGCTACCTGGGCGTGTGCCACCCGATCCGCTCGCTGTCGTGGCGCAAGAACAGCCGGGCGCGCGTGGTGAGCGCCGTCACCTGGCTGGTGGTGGTCGCTCACATGTCGCCCGTGTGGTTCTTCGTCTCCACCAGCCGCTGGGGCGACGAGACGATCTGCCACGACACGGCCAAGCCGGAGCTGTTCGACAACTTCGTCGCGTACAACCACGTGCTCTTCGTCACGCTCTTCGCGCTGCCCTTCCTCGTCATCCTCGTGAGCTACGTGGCCATCATCCGCACGCTGCGTCGCTCCGCCACGTCGGGCGTGCGCACGTGGACGGCGTACAAGCGGCGCTCGCTGCGCATGATCGTGCTGGTGCTCGCCGTCTTCGCCGTGTGCTTCGTGCCGTTCAACGTGACGCGCACCGCCTACTACGTGCTGCGGCAGCAGGACGCCGCCTGCGCGACGCTCAACGCCATCAACATGGCGTACAAGATGACGAGGCCGCTCGCCTCCGTCAACAGCTGCCTCGACCCCATCCTTTACCTGCTCGCCGGCGACCTGTACCGGCGCAGCGTGACGCGGGCGAACGCGGCCCGGTGCACGCGCACCGGCGCCAGCGAGCCGTCCAGGGCCAAGAAGTCGTCGTCGTCCGACGCCGAGGAGAAGAAGGCGAAGGCGGTGGAGGTGGAGGAGCAGAAGGAGCAGAAGGAGCAGGAGAAGCCGAGCTGGGTGGTCGAGCGAGGGGCCAATGGAGGCACCAACGGGACCCACGGCCAGCCGCACTTCAAGTCGAGGGTGAGCACGGTAAACACCGTGGATGGGAACTTCATGTGAGAGAGACGCGTTGGACGCGGACGGATGACGACAACGACGACGCCGAACGTCGCAAGATTCGCCGCGGCGTGGCACAGGAAGACGCGGCGCTGCCCGGGTGGTGTCGTGGGTTGGTTGTTGTTGTTTTTTACCAGCACGTAAGGCCCCACCGTGCTACGTAGCTCTGTTTCAGAAGCGACCTCGCTGTCACAAATGCTAGCTCAGCGAAAGTGGCTTGTCACGCTGAACTTTATAGCAGCCAAATAGTGTTGCACGCCCACGACCTCCTGTACACCAGGCGAGGTAGTTAACATCTGACCACCAGGCGAGGTAGTTAACATCTTCGTGAAGCTGCCGATGCACGGAGTTGCCCCGGGGACTCGACCGGCGACCTCACAAATTCGGGTGCCAGGCTGGGTGCACCCTGGACGGGTATCGCTGCGGGGCCACTTACAGGGCCGCCACGTCGGCAAGAAGAAGTGGAGCAATATTTCGATTTAAAGCTTTCGTGACTGCAGGGATTCATCTTGTTGGTTCTTTCGGTAAAGTCGCGTAGAAGGGAAATAATAAAATTATAAAAATAAAACACAATAAAATACAATTCTCAAGACGTTTCGGCCACAGAGTCATTCAGACGCTGTCTTCTCGACAGACCTGTTTTTCACCTGAGGACGGCTGCTTGCGTTGTGGCCGAAACGTCGTGAGAATTATTTTATGTTTTATTTTTACTTTTTTATTATTTCCCTTCTACGTGACTTTACCGAAAGAACCAAGAAGAAGTGGAGGAATCTTCATGGTTCCGCATTGTGCTCCAACGTCTATGTCCCCCTCCCCCTCCCGCCTTCACCAACCCGCACTGACCAGGGTGGTGAAGTATGGTCAAATAGCCCCATCCCCCACAACGGTTTGTGTCGAATTGCGACGTGGGTTTATATCGTGGTGTGTATTTCAGTGTGAATACCGTACATGTTTAGTTCATGTATATAGCGTGTGTCATATGAGTGTGTGCTTGCGTGCGTGCGTGTGTACGTGTGTGAGTGATGCTAACTGGAATCAAGTTCTCCGTGGGTTTAGAACCACACGTGGCGTCGGTGCCGCTGGGTTTGAATGCAATACAAACTTGAAAACGAACTCCTTGTGTTTTATTGGGGTTTAAAAAAAAACTCGCTCACGACGACAGGTCTGAGCCTAAATTTCAACAGATTAAAAATATACGCTTATTTATCAAATGTACAATTAATAGGACTGTGGCCAAATCGGCCCTATCCCGTTAAGACAGTAGAAGTCTCGCTGGGGTCGTGAGCCTGAATAGCGCCTCGTTTGGCGAGCACAGAGATGCTGCGATGATATTTGATGATGATAATAATAATAGGCAAGTGAGTTTATAACGATCCGCTGTGATGTGTTGCTAAATATTGCAAGACAGCTAATATTATGGCCTTAACTCGTTGGTTTTTTCGCGGCCTAATCTTATGATTCGTGATTGATTTTTGCGGGGGATTTAAGCCACTTAATCATCTGACCAAATGTGTGTCGTTAAGGCCCCCTGCAGTTAAATTTGTTGGTGAGGATTTATGTTCAGCTCGCCAGCCGCTGAGCCCAGACAAAGTTAATATTAATTGGCGCGTCGCGACCGTTTCATTTGCTTGGGCTGTGTCGGTTGGTGGAAGGTATCGACAACACGCAAATTTGGTCACGTCCTTGTTTACGTGGCCTCACCCAAAGATAATTGATTGACAAATCCATCAGAAGTCTGACCACGGTGTAGGTGTCATGTTTGTCGCAATGCATCCACTGTTATTTGTGTACGTGTGTGTACATGATGGTCGTTTAGATTGCCGTGCGGTCTTGTACTCGTGTACACTTCATGATACATCGGAGAGCTTGTGTTTGTAAAGTGCCGTACGGCGGAGTCGATGTCAAACATTGACAACTCTGTGAAAGGCAACTTTCTCACGTGATTTAAATGAATTCGCAGTGAATTTACCACGGTCCGTGTAAGTTGGAGGTTCGAGTTATTGAATTTAACGTGATCGGTATTTTTTGTCGTTGTGAGTTTGAAATGGTGCACGAGACGCGGTGGAATTTTTTGACCTGAAGCGGCGTCCCATTGAAGTGCAATTCACTTGGTGGTGACGTCACCAAGACGCTTGTGCCAGGCTATGTGCACGTCGAGGCCACGTGAAGTGTCGAACGCCCGCTGGCAGGAGGTCACGGGGCAGACCCAGGTGCCATGGGTCGACTGACTGAGATGACCGAGATGACTGGCTGATGCACCACCTGTGCCCCCTACTGTGCCAACTTGCTGTGTTTTAGCCACCCGGCGCTCCGCTCGTTGTTGTGAGCGTCGCTCCTCCACCCTCCGTTGTTGTTGGAGGGCGAGTGCCTCAAACTACCCAGTAGCGTCCTTCACGAGCCTCCTCCACAGAGGCCGATCTTGACACCGCTGGTACCAGTCGTCGGCAAGTCCACTCAGCTCCACATCCTTCTGTACCACATCACTCCATCTCTGCTCTAGCCCGTGCCGTGCCCGTTTAGCCCCCTCTATCCGGCCGAACAAAAGCTGTTTAGGCATGCGGTGGCTGGGCATGCGGTGGCTGGGCATGCGGGCTACATGGCCCAGCCAACGCAGCCTTGCCTGCTGGAGGAGCTCACCGATGGGACTTTGTCCACATCTTTCACGGATGTGTGAGCTCCTCACACAATACAGCCTGGTTAAACCCAGGATGGATCGTAGGCGGGCCAGCCTAAATGTTTTTAACCGGCGAAGATGTTCCATTAGGGGGGTCCACGTTTCGCAAGTGTAGAGAAGGGAGGGAATGACTGTGGCCGAGAAGACCTGAAGCTTCGTGCGGAGCGACAGACCAGGTAGCTTCCACACAGCGTTACGCAACCGATGAAAAGATATTGCCGCTCGACTGATTCGGAGTGAGACCTCTGCTGTCAAACCGGAGCCGGTCATGAGCACACTGCCCAGGTATGGGAAACTTTCCACTCTCTCCACAACTGCCCCATCACCATTACCACCACCACTATCATCATTATTACCACCACTATCATCATTACCACCATCATTATCACCACCATCATTACCACCACTACCATCATTACCACCATCGTTATTACAATCATCATTACCACCATCATCATTATTACCACAACCATCATCATTACCACCACTACCATCATTACCACCATCATCGTCACCACCATTATCATCATCACCACTATCATCAACACCACCATCATCACCACCACCACCGTCATCATCGATGTCCCGAACCTGTCATCCCAGTCTGGGAGAACTCTCTGCCTGGCTCCTCACTCCACTCGCCACACAGACAGCCGCTGTGGAGAATAAACTAAGACTACTCAACTATTTATTTTATGTACCGGGTCAAGCCCACTCGGCTTTTAGCTCTTGTTCAGACGCGACCTGGCCACAAATGATAGCTCAACCACGTGGCTTATCACGTGGAAATGTATAGCAACCAAATGCTCTAAACACGTGATGTTGTTGATTCTAAATGTGGAGCGAAAAACCGGAGGACCCGAAGAAAAATCCATGCGACGACGCGGAGAGAGACACGCAAACTCCAAATACAGGATGCTTCAAAAAAATGTTAACACTTATATGGGACTATCGTTTTTAATGGAAAAAGAACGGATACTACACTGTAACATGATAACGAATATATGTTAATAACTTCAAAAAGTTAAAGAGTCTCCATTTGTTCGCCATCATTGCCAACACGTGCCTGGAATCTTCTTCAGGTGGTCACCACATTTCTTGTGGTATTGCTGCAAATTCTCAGAAGTGTTAAAAAACTAATTTGAAGCACCCTGCATACCAGGCATCAAGGGTTGAGATTGAACCCACGAACCTCCTGCATCATACAAGGCGAGAGAGATAACCTCTCTCGTGAGGGCGGTGGATTTTTATGATTCTTCTTATTTATATTTTGTTCAGTTTTAACACACAATTCAAGGAAATGACTAAATGAATCGTTTTAATCGTAATGCGTTATAACAGAGCCTACACCGATTTAGAGCGTTCGTGACTGCAGGGATTCATCTTCTTAGTTCTTTCGGTAAAGTCACGTAGAAGGGAAATAATAAAATAATCGGGAAGACAGCGTCTGTCTTCCCTACAGACCTGGTCTTCACCTGAGGACGGCTGCTTGCGTTGTGGCCGAAACGTCGTGAGAATTATTTTATTATGTTTTATTTTAATTATTTTATTATTTCCATTCTACGTTCCAGTTCAAGTTCATTTATTAGGTATAGCCCTGTGAGCCATTCGGCTCTTGAATCGGGTGCAACCGCAACAAACAAAAAACAAAAACATGAACAAAAAACATCTTAAAGTGAATACGTGACTAAGTGCAAACAGAAAATCCAAGAAAAGACAGCAAAATATTGCAGAAAAAACACGTGACTTTACCGAAAGAACCAAGAAGAAGAGCCTACACCCTTGGTGCAATACTGTGTTCGCAGCGTAGCCGTCGCCACGCTGTAGGGGAAGGACACACAAACTCGCCACAGAACGTCACCCGATTAGGGAATCGAACCCAGGTCCTCCATGCTGCGAGGCACACATGCTACCACTTGCGCCACAGAAGGCAGTCTTCATTATGGATGTTGTGTTATTAATTTCTAAACGTGGAATGTTTACATGTTTTTTTCTTTTTGCCTTGTACCCACAGCACTCACCAGTCGCCCGTTAAATTTCGATTTAAAGCTTTCGTGACTGCAGGGATTCATCTTCTTGGTTCTTTCGGTAAAGTCACGTAGAAGGGAAATAATAAAATAATTAAAATAAAACATTATTAAATAATTCTCACGACGTTTCGGCCACAACGCAAGCGGCCATCGTCAAGGTTAAGAACACGTCTGTTCTTCACCTGAGGACGGCTGCTTGCGGCCACAACGTGTTCTTCACCTGAGGACGGCTGCTTGCGTTGTGGCCGAAACGTCTTTGTCGAGTTTGTATGTCCTTCCCCTACAGACGTGTTCTTCACCTGAGGACGGCTGCCTGCGTTGTGGCCGAAACGTCGTGAGAATTATTTTATTATGTTTTATTTTTATTATTTTATTATTTCCCTTCTACGTGACTTTACCGAAAGAACCAAGAAGATGACAGTCGCCTGTTGTTATGCCTTACAGGCTGTCTGGACGACTGCTGCTACCAAGCGCCTGCATGGCGTACAAGGGGTGAAGTGTCTTGACCAGGCGTCACACCACCGGCTTGCATTTATCTCCACAGCGCCGATGTTTACACGCTGCAACAGCAGCTCGTTTAAGGATGAGTCCACCGTGGGGAAGCCATCGTCAAGGTTATGTGTGAGATGTGACCATAACAAGAATAGGTTTTACCCGTTCTGGCAATAAAATAGGACAATGCATATATTTTCATAGTGTGTGTTTTGTTTGCATTTCGACTGCAGGTATTGTGGTTAATGCAGACATGAATCCTTGTTTAAAAAAGTTTCATTTTGTTGCCAGAAAAAAGGGGGAAAACCCCTATTATTATATGTTGGTACTGGCAAAGGAGGTCCAATGATGTAGATGCTCACCCCGAGCTCTCATTACTTTGATAGTGCAGCATTGTCTTTGAGCTGTACGCCTTTTGGCGTCCTCTGGTCGAGCACCAATTGGGTCGAGGCTGAAAAGAAAGCCGTCCCTTGGTGTGGACCAATCAGTTTCAAGGACAATGCATATATTATCATAGTGTTTTTTTTGTTTGCATTTTGACTGCAAGTATTGTGGTTAATGCAGACATGAATCCTTGTAAAAAGGTTTCAGTTTTGTTGCCAGAAATAAGGGGGGGAAAAGGGGAAACCGTATTTTTATAACAAAATTGGTTTCTACAATGAATGGCGCTCCATAGTTCTGTCTCAGACGATGCTTCTAGTTTTGGGAAGGAAACGATGCAAGGTGGTTTCTGGAATGTGAGACGAACTTTCTATGATTGGAAGGCTGTGGAAAATCGTGTTCTTGAATGTCAGCATCTGAGATGGTGAATTTTTCACTTGTGCGGCAAAGTGTAAAATGCACGAGGTATGTAACGATGCATTGATCCATCGATTGATATTTTCTCATGGTTATGTGACTTGTATCTGTTTGATGTTATTGGTTTAAATGAGGCCGTTCTTTTTATTGTAAACAGTATAACCCGTAAAAACAAAGTTTTTCACTATAAATCCTTTATATGCGTGGCGGCTAGAGTCCTCTCGTCCTCTGGCTTGAGATGGCTGCCACCTATGGGTCAGATGATTGCATGGCAGCGTTAAGCAATTGGTAATTAAATATAATATTTTTGTCCTAAAAAGTGTAAAATTTTGGAAAAAAATTTTTCACGAACTTTAATTATCACGCACAACGAGTCTGTGTGGAAAATGTCAGCTCGATTGGATCACGGGAAGTGGGTTAAAACACGACCGAAATATTTGCACGGTCCTAAGCAAGCAAGCAAGTGAACTTAATATAAAGGATTTAAAAAGCCAATTTCTAGGGTGGTGGTGGTGGTGGCGGCCCAGTATAATGTACATTATAACTCCTCTTATTTAACATTCAAGAATATCGAACACATGTCGAGTAAGCCATCACATAATCATCCTATTTAACAGACGCACACACAAAATACAACTTTTACGAAAACTGTTTTGTTTTTAACCATTTTAACGTACGTCTAACGTCGATTTTGATCGTATTTTTTGACATTTTTGCCTTTTTACTGTAAAAGAAAAGTGAAGTGTTTTTTGTTGAAAATGTTGTGCTTTTAACCCCATTAACTGCACTTTCAAACCACAGTAAACGTAACTGATTTTGCACTCGCGTCGATGAATTTATTATCACCGTGTGGCGCGCATAACTTAGCACAACTTGACACGGTGGGTTTCTACTGAGAATAGGAACGATTCACACATTGCATCTTATGGGGACCCGCTTTTGCCGATATCGAAATAACTTTTTTTTCTAATGCGTAGGCTATGCGGCGAATTATTGAATGGAACACCTGAGCCATACGCTCAAGGGGAAAGGAGTGGGAATTCGAGACCAGATGACCCCTCCTCATACAACACCTGGAATAAGTCATCAGGATTGAGAGGATCGGGAGACACGGGACCGAGGACATGGAGCATGACCACTGCAAGTTAGACGGGAAGCCGTTTAGGTCGCCTTTTCATGTGATTTTTTACTCTCTTGATGTCAGCTGTTTCATTTTTCGATTTAAAGCTTTCGTGACTGCAGGGATTCATCTTCTTGGTTCTTTCGGTTAAGTCACGTAGAAGGGAAATAATACAATAATAAAAATAAAACAGACTCTGTCTACTCGACAAACCTGCTATCCACCTGAGGACGGCTGCTTGCGTTGTGGCCGAAACGTCGTGAGAATTATTTTATTATGTTTTATTTTTATTATTTTATTATTTCCATTCTACGTGACTTTACCGAAAGAACCAAGAAGATGTCAGCTGTGTTTCGGTTTAAATCCCTCTCTCGCCTTGTCATCCCTTCCCCCCTTTGCTTCAAAGTGTTCTGTTACCCTGTCGGTGGGGCAGCGGGCCCGTTTCCCATCTTTCTATCCCCTGCTCGTCATAAGCGGTTTGGCTTTATGTTGACGGCGTGATCCGTGCGTCACGTCGTGATGTGTCAGGCCCGCCACGTGGCCTCAATTTAAAAAACACATTCCTGCGGAGGGAGCTGGTAGGAGCGTTGGGTTGCTCGGTCAATGGCCAGGGTCAACGGCGGCGTGGTGTATTCCGCAAATATTGTCGACTGTGAGGGCGGGCACAAGCCGGCGTGAGTAGGTGAAACGTTGAGTTTTATAAAGGCACCACGGGGTGACCAGCACCTCCCCACCTAGGCCCACCCAGCCCCACCCTCCTCACTCAGCCCCTCCCCACCCTCCCCACCCAGCCCCTCCCCACCCTCCCCTCTCCACCCAGCCCCACCACTCCCATTTTTGGATGCACGATGGACGGACGGACACAATAATCCCCTGTGGGCTGGTGGAACCAGGTGGTTCCTACCAGTAATATATATAGTTTACTCTTTGGTTCTTTCGGTAAAGTTACGTAGAAAGAAAAATATCTAAATAATAGAATACGACACAGAGGTGTCTATCTCTGTGTCCCTCTCTGTGTGTCTCTGTGTGTTCTCTCTCTGCGTGTGTCTGTCTGTGTGTCTATGTTGTGTGTCTCTCCCTGTGTGTCTCTGTGTTGTCTCTCTCTACTTGTGTGTCTGTCTGTGTCTTTCTCTGTATGTCTCTGTTGTGTGTCTCTCTCTGTGTGTCTATGTGTGTCTCTCTCTGCTTGTGTGTCTCTCTCTGTGTGTCTCTCTGTGTTCTCTCTCCACTTGTGTGTCTGTCTGTGTGTCTAAGTTGTGCGTCTCTCTCTGTGTGTCTCTGTGTTGTCTCTGTGTGTGTCTCTATCTGTGTGCCTCTGTGTTGTCTCTGTGTGTCTGTGTGTCTCTGTGTGTCTCTCTCTGTGTTGTCTCTGTGTGTCTGTGTGTCTCTCTCTGTGTGTCTCTGTGTGTGTCTCTCTCTGTGTGTCTCTGTGTGTGTCTCTCTCTATGTGTCTCTCTCTGCTTGTGTGTCTGTCTGTGTGTCTCTCTGTGTGTGTCTATGTTGTGTGTCTCTCTCTGTGTGTCTCTGTGTGTGTGTTCTCTCTCTCTACTTGTGTGTTCATCCACCAGGTAGGGTGTTGACTGTTGTGTTAGCCGACTCTCTGTGTTGTGTTGCATTATTTTTCTAAGTTTGCTATGTTTGTTTTCTCATTCATTCGCACCTGATGATGGTTGCTTGTGTTGCAATCGAAACGTCGTATTCTATTATTTAATTTATTTTCTTTCTACGTGACTTTAACGAAAACACCAAATAGTAATTCCTGCGGTCACGAAAGCTTCAAATCCTGTATATAGTTTAGTCACTCGAGATGTTGCTGTACTGCCATCTCCTGGGCGATTTGTAGACCAAGGCCACATTTCCTGATATTGGACAATCACCGTCGTTTCAAGTTCAAGTTCATTTATTAGGCATAGCCCTGTGAGCCATTCAGCTCTTGAATCGGGTGCAACCGCAACAAGACAAAAACATGAACAAGAAGACATCTTAAGGTGACTATGTGACTATGTGCAAACTGAAAATCCAGGAAAAAAAACAGAAAAAGTTCCAGAAGAAAGCCATGTAAACCAAAGCTGCGCACAAATAAATGTACTGTACTGGAGAGTGCAATATATTATTATTTAAGTATTGTAGTAGAGTATTTTGGTGATTTTTTTATAGTCCGCTGTATCCTATTGTACCCTGTATAGTTTGTGTTGAAGTTTACTGCTGTACACTAGTGTCGAGTACCGTATATTTACTGATTTCAATGGAACGTTGTGGGTACGGCTAGGTCTGACCTATGGGAGTCCAGTTTACCATAGAAGTTCAGTTTACCATGGGAATCCAGTTTACCATGGGAATCCAGTTCACCATGGGAATCCAGTTTACCATGGGAGTCCAGTTTCCAATGGGAGTCCAGTTTACCATGGAAGTCCAGTTTAAGATGGAAGTTCAGTTCACCATAGAAGTTCAGTTTACCATGGGAATCCAGTTTACCATGGGAATCCAGTTCACCATGGGAATCCAGTTTCCAATGGGAGTCCAGTTTACCATGGAAGTCCAGTTTAAGATGGAAGTTCAGTTCACCATAGAAGTTCAGTTTACCATGGGAATCCAGTTTACCATGGGAATCCAGTTCACCATGGGAATCCAGTTTACCATGGGAGTCCAGTTTCCAATGGGAGTCCAGTTTACCATGCAAGTCCAGTTTAAGATGGAAGTTCAGTTCACCATAGAAGTCCAGTTTACCATGGGAATCCAGTTTACCATGGGAATCCAGTTCACCATGGGAATCCAGTTTACCATGGGAGTTCAGTTTTCAATGGGAGTCCAGTTTACCATGGGAGTCCAGTTTACCATGGGAGTCCAGTTTACCATGGAAGTCCCGTTTCCAATGGGAGTCCAGTTTACCATGAGAATTCAGTTTACCATGAGAATTCAGTTTACCATGGGAATCCAGTTTACCATGGGAGTCCAGTTTACCATGGAAGTCCCGTTTCCAATGGGAGTCCAGTTTACCATGAGAATTCAGTTTACCATGGGAATCCAGTTTACCATGCAAGTCCAGTTTAAGATGGAAGTTCAGTTCACCATAGAAGTTCAGTTTACCATGGGAATCCAGTTTACCATGGGAATCCAGTTCACCATGGGAATCCAGTTTACCATGGGAGTTCAGTTTTCAATGGGAGTCCAGTTTACCATGGGAGTCCAGTTTACCATGGGAGTCCAGTTTACCATGGAAGTCCCGTTTCCAATGGGAGTCCAGTTTACCATGAGAATTCAGTTTACCATGAGAATTCAGTTTACCATGGGAATCCAGTTTACCATGGGAGTCCAGTTTACCATGGAAGTCCCGTTTCCAATGGGAGTCCAGTTTACCATGAGAATTCAGTTTACCATGAGAATTCAGTTTACCATGGGAATCCAGTTTACCATGCAAGTCCAGTTTAAGATGGAAGTTCAGTTCACCATAGAAGTTCAGTTTACCATGGGAATCCAGTTTACCATGGGAATCCAGTTCACCATGGGAATCCAGTTTACCATGGGAGTCCAGTTTCCAATGGGAGTCCAGTTTACCATGGGAGTCCAGTTTACCATGGGAGTCCAGTTTACCATGGAAGTCCCGTTTCCAATGGGAGTCCAGTTTACCATGAGAATTCAGTTTACCATGAGAATTCAGTTTACCATGGGAATCCAGTTTACCATGGGAGTCCAGTTTACCATGGAAGTCCCGTTTCCAATGGGAGTCCAGTTTACCATGAGAATTCAGTTTACCATGAGAATTCAGTTTACCATGGGAATCCAGTTTACCATGCAAGTCCAGTTTAAGATGGAAGTTCAGTTCACCATAGAAGTTCAGTTTACCATGGGAATCCAGTTTACCATGGGAATCCAGTTCACCATGGGAATCCAGTTTACCATGGGAGTCCAGTTTCCAATGGGAGTCCAGTTTACCATGGAAGTCCAGTTTAAGATGGAAGTTCAGTTCACCATAGAAGTTCAGTTTACCATGGGAATCCAGTTTACCATGGGAATCCAGTTCACCATGGGAATCCAGTTTACCATGGGAGTCCAGTTTCCAATGGGAGTCCAGTTTACCATGCAAGTCCAGTTTAAGATGGAAGTTCAGTTCACCATAGAAGTTCAGTTTACCATGGGAATCCAGTTTACCATGGGAATCCAGTTCACCATGGGAATCCAGTTTACCATGGGAGTCCAGTTTCCAATGGGAGTCCAGTTTACCATGGAAGTCCAGTTTAAGATGGAAGTTCAGTTCACCATAGAAGTTCAGTTTACCATGGGAATCCAGTTTACCATGGGAATCCAGTTCACCATGGGAATCCAGTTTACCATGGGAGTTCAGTTTCCAATGGGAGTCCAGTTTACCATGGAAGTCCAGTTTAAGATGGAAGTTCAGTTCACCATAGAAGTTCAGTTTACCATGAGAATCCAGTTTACCATGGGAATCCAGTTCACCATGGGAATCCAGTTTACCATGGGAGTTCAGTTTCCAATGGGAGTCCAGTTTACCATGGGAGTCCAGTTCACCATGGGAATCCAGTTTACAATGGGAATCCAGTTCACCATGGGAATCCAGTTTACTATGGGAGTCCAGTTTACCATGGGAGTTCAGTTTCCAATGGGAGTCCAGTTTACCATGGGAGTCCAGTTTACCATGGGAGTCCAGTTTACCATGGAAGTCCCGTTTCCAATGGGAGTCCAGTTTACCATGAGAATTCAGTTTACCATGAGAATTCAGTTTACCATGGGAATCCAGTTTACCATGGGAGTCCAGTTCACCATGGGAACCCAGTTTACCATGGGAACCCAGTTTACCATGGGAATCCAGTTTACCATGGTAGTCCCCATGGTATCAAATAATCTGGTCAACGACTTGTTCGGAACGATTAGTGCTGAGCCGCTCCTCCTCCTGTCCGCTGGAGGCTGAGACAGCAAGGAACGCGTTCACAGCGCCCCCTATTGGCAGTGCCGTGGGGGGCACCGACACAGCGCCCCCTACCGGCGATGACGTGGGGGGCACTACGGAAACAATAAAATCGGACCGCGACGGAATCACCGATCTCGCCGATATTAGCTAATCAAATGAAGAAGGGGGAGGGAGTCACATTATAACTTGATCCATGGATCAATTGGCCATGAACCAACACTCGATTAACCCGCAAATTACGATTAACCCCGCATTGTTGATGTTTGTTTATTATATTGTGTATTATATTGTTATGCTCGTTGTTTGGGGGATTCTGATATCCGTGTTTATCTTAAACTTGATTATGTGATTACTGGAAATGCTAAATAATTGGAGGGTTTAAGTGTTTTACTCATCCGCTATCTACAACATGTAAAAATAGTTATGTATATGCATCTGTTGCTGGATTAATGCCTCACTCCCTAGCCTCCCCCCCCCCTCTAATGCACCATCAGCATTATCAAGCCAGGGTCTCTCCACTGCTGTATTAATGCCTCCTCCCCTAGACTTCTCTCCCCTTCACCACCTCTAATGCACCATCAGCGCGAGACGCGTCGACCAAGAGCGACGCTCAGACCATATTATTATAATCAGGGAGATGTGCTGGAGACTCGTGGCTGTTGCGGTGGGGATCTCCGCCTGTCCGAGTGTGAGCACGTAGCTCCTTAAATAAAGAAACCATCTCAAGAGAAATGCGTCCAAGTCGTCATTTCACATGTGTGGGCGGGGGGAGGGCAAATCTCTGATCGGTCATTTCGTCGAGTGTACGAATGTTTCGCTGCTCTGTTACAGCGCACGCTGTAATAAAGGGGAGCACACACGCGTGGTGGTTCTGGGGCGTGCCTGCTCTACTGTTGGATGGGGCACCGGTCATCGGGAGCTAGAAGACACGTGCCCACGTGGACGGTGGGAACGAGCTGGGGACATCTGGAGTTGGTGCGCTGAACATTAACATCACGGCAGCCCTCCTTAGCAACGTGGACGATGAATAAAATATAAGATCAACTCTGTTCCATCTACACAATTTAAGCACGAGGTATTTGTTTAGTACATTCGCCTATTGGCTTTCCAGATCAATATTAGAAAGCATGATAATTATTCATAATATAGGGTTTTTTGGGGGGTATAGATAATGTAAATATAAATGTGTCGTTAAACCCGCCACCACCCGACACAGCCAATTAGTAAAGTTTGTCACGTAAACAGAACGTGGCCAATTCGTTACTAGTACAGCACACAGGTGTGTCGGAGAGCAAAGCCACAACATTTACAATCTAATTTACAAAAAAACTAGATTATGGATGATATTGGTCGCAAAAGCCTACGTTTCGATTTAAAGCTTTCGTGACTGCAGGGATTCATATTCTTGGTTCTTTCGGTAAATTCACGTAGAAGGGAAATAATAAAATAAAATAAAACAATTAAAATTTCACTTGCTGTGGTTTTCAAACCTGCTGATGATTGCTTGTGTTGCAATCGAAACGTCGTGAGAATTTTATTGTTTTATTTTTATTATTGTATTATTTCCCTCCTCCGTGACTTTACCGAATGAACCAAGAATTAAAAAAAGCCTACGTGTTAAAATTATATTATTTGTGTATGGCAAACAAACTCTGGAGCGTTACGACTTTCCAGGTCTCATAAGCAGTTGGACTTGTTCGACAAATACTGTTGGATGTCTGGATGTTCTTGTCAAGGGCAATCCATGTAAATGATGCGACCCGGGGTGGTGTGCGTGAGAATTAGAGGCTGTTTTACAATTGGCTTTTTTTCTCGCGTTCATACAATTAAATCATGGAAATAGCATGAAATTTCGATTTAAAGCATTCGTGACTGCAGGGATTCATCTTCTTGGTTCTTTCGGTAAAGTCACGTAGAAGGGAAATAATAAAATAATATTTAAAAAAACATAATAAAATAATTCTCACGACGTTTCGGCCACAACGCAAGCAGCCGTCCTCAGATGAAGACCAGGTCTGTCAGGGAGACAGACGCTGTCTGTCTCCCCGACAGACCTGAGGACGGCTGCTTGCGTTGTGGCCGAAACGTCGTGAGAATTATTTTATTATGTTTTATTATTTTATTATTTCCCTTCTACGTGACTTTACCGAAAGAACCAAGAAGAGAAATAGCATGCTCAAAAAAGCCCCGCTTAATGTGAGAGAAGCATCTAGAGTACATCACTAAACGTACTTGTTCAGCTGAGAAACAAAGTGTACAACGTTTCAGACAACAGCCCTTCTTCATAGCACATAAAAGAAGGGCCCATTAGCAGCAACGCCGTTCGTAGCACATGATGTCCACATTTTTTTGGGCCGCAGTGTTTTTTTTTGACGATTGTCTTGAGTGAGTGTGTGCTATTTTTGGTGTAACATCTGCGGTGTTTTTTTGTTGACGAATGCCTTGAATTTGTGAGGGTTTTTAGTTTAACACGCGCGGTGGATCGGGTTTGTCGACAAGCATTGCATCCGCACTTGGGTAGGTGAGATGGGTATGAGGCGGGGGGGGGGGGGTGATGTAAATGATAGCGAGCAATGCCTACAGGTGAACAGGATAATTCACCAACACTCGCTTCACTCGCAGACCGCTCGCGACATCCACCTTTCCTCGGTCCACGGTGAGTGAGCGAGCGAGCGAGTATGTGTGTGGTTGCGTGCAATAATATTGATGTTAGTTTGCAATTCAGTATCTGGCATTTAGCAATTGGAGAAAGCCTGACTGCTTCCATGTTATCGGTGGGCATGTTGACATGATTTGCATGAACGACGCTAATATATTAAACCAATCATTATTTTGTTTTATTTATAGGAGGAGGCTGAGGTGGTGGGGGTGGGGGGTAGCAACAGCTTTGATGATTTGGGGGGCTTTGTCTAAACTTTAAAACTAAACTATTTTTTATTTTACCAGGTAAGGCCCAACAGAGCTACGTAGTTTTTTTTTCAGAAGCGAGCTGGCTACGAATGATAGCTCACCCAAAGTGGCTTATCACGTGGGAATTAATAGCAGCCTAATCCTCTGAACTCGCGATGTTGATTCTAAATGTGGAGTGGGGAAAAAAAACCTGAAAACCCAGAGAAAAATCCACGCGGCGAAAGTGCCTCCGCTCTGAAAGTTACATGAAGGACACTGCAAGTCGTGGCTTCCTCAAGTGCTGAGTGGAAGAAATTCAACATCTCAGTGCAAGTTGATGAGACACAATCCGTGGTCTGGGGCCGTGGTTCTCAACCAGGGGGTTCTTCGAACTCCCTGGAGGGGAGGGGTGTAGGTGGCAACGTCCCATGGAGTACGTGAAATGTGTGGAATTATATCGTACATGAGAGACGTCGGTGAACAAACACGTGTGAATATTGCCAATGTAAGATAACCATGATGAAACTGTAGTCCATACGGTAACCTAAACTCATTGATCTTTTAACGATGTTGCTTTCCGAGAGAGTAATCAGCGAGCGATAATAAATTGCCCCGCGTGTGCAAGGCGCCCTTCCCCCTCCAGCCCAGCTTAAATATACGCTGCCAAGCTTGGTGGTGCCCATTCAGACGCTGTCTTTCCGACAGACCTGTTCTTCACCTGAGGACGGCTGCTTGCGTTGTGGCCGATACGTCGTGAGAATAATTTCCTTATGTTTTATTTACATTATTTTATTATTTCCCTTCTACGTGACTTTACCGAAAGAACCAAGAAGATGCAGGGCGTCCGTTGTATTTTTTTTATTCGCGCGCGGTTACTTAGCGAGTTGGGATAACCTCACAGAATGGACAATTGGGTAACAACATTGACGTTCATTTATTCGTACATTTATTTATCAGATAACCACATTGGGTCAGGCAAGCGTTGGGGTGGGGGGGGGGTTACTTCTCGGTTGAAACAAAATTCAACAAGGAGGAGGAGGAAGAGGGGGGTGACCACAGAAGCCGACAAAAGGGTTGAGAATAACCACTGCGTGTGGGGGGCCCATAGCCACAGTCGCACTTTGGGGGGGCGGGGGTCAACATCTCCGTGACACTGGTGGCCATGGCGCGGTTGGTTTGTTTTGTCGCTTCCGCGCGGAGGCGCCTGGAATCTCATCTTCTTTTTGTTTTGTTTTTCGGTAAAGTCACGTAAGTAAAAAAAAAATACATTAAATCACGACTCTAGATTTGAAGCTTTCGTGACTGCAAGGATTCATACTCTTAGGTTTTTTTCGGTAAAGTCACGTAGGACAAAAATAAATAATATAAATAAATAATAAACATTGTTGAAATAATAATATAAATAAAATAATAGATCACGACGTTTCGGGCGCAACACAAGCGTCCGTCATCAGGTGGGACAACCACAGCAAGAAACAATTTGCTGAAGTGGGCAAAAGAGCTCTCTTGCGCCCGAAACGTCGTGATTTATTATTTTATTTCTATTAATATTTCTATTATTTTTATTATTTATTTTTATTACTTATTTTTACCTACGTGACTTTACCGAAAAAACCTAACAGTTTAAATCACGACGTTTCGGAGGCAACACAAGCTTCCATCTTCAGGTGGAACCGTCACAGAACCTGAAGACGGCGGCTTGTGTTGCCTCCGAAACGTCGATGATTTTATTTATTTAAAATTTGTTACCTACGTGACTTTACCGAGAAAAAAAACCAAAGCGTATGAATCCTTGCAGTCACGAAAAAACTTCAAATTTGGAATCTCATCGCTGCATAAACCTCAAAAGAGGATCAAGTTGATAAAAAAAAATGTTTTTAGAATAAACTGGATGTATATATTTTATAATAATCTATGAGGTGGGTTGTACCCTGTATTGCTGGACCCGGAATGGTCACTTGTTAGTGTTACACGAAGACCCTGTTAAGGTCATGCGAAGACCTTGGTGGTTTATCTATAAAGGGTACCCTATGGGTTACCAGGGGACCCTATTTGTCCATGAGACCCTGTTGAGGCACCCAGATGATGCCCCACTACACTATTGCTGTTGTTGTTTAAATTGCATCCCACTGGGATTTTTGCACACAGTGTTGGTGTACGGTCATTTTTCTGCAATATTTTGCTGTCTTCTCTTTGAATTTCTTTTTGCACATAGTCACTTTAAGATGTTTCTTGTTCATGTTTTTGTTTTTTTGTTTGTTGCGGTTGCACCCGATTCAAGAGCCGAATGGCTCACAGGGTTATACCGAATAAATGAACCTGTGGGGTTATTACTGGGGAACCCCTGTTGGTTTATGAAGGAACCCTGGTGGTATATCTATGATGGGGGCTTCTTAGTTTATTCACGAGGGGACCCTATCGTGATCGCCTTTGTCCACACGCAGGCGGCGGTGATCAGTCATCCGCACGATGTATCAGCCCCACTACAAGCATCCTGTGGTGACGGGCCAGCCGATGCCCACGATGGCCCAGCCGATGGTTATGGGCCAGCCGATGGTGCAGCAAACGACGATGAGCACCACTCTCACCACCAACACGTGGAACTCGAGAATGTGCGACTGCTGCAACGACTGCGAGTCCTGTGAGTGAACCTCCAGCCCACCATCTACCCACCACCTACCCACCACCATCTACCCACCACCATCTACCCACCACCCTCCACCCACCACCCTCCACCATCTACCCACCATCTACCCACCACCATCTACCCACCACCATCTACCCACCACCATCTACCCACCACCATCTACCCATCACCCTCCACCATCTACCCACCACCCACAACCCACCACCCATCACCATCTACCCACCCCTCACCACCCACCACCATCTACCCACCACCCACCACCCATCACCATCTACCCACCACCATCTACCCACCACCATCTACCCTCCACCATCTACCCACCACCATCTACCCACCACCCACAACCCACCACCCTCCACCATCTACCCACCACCCACCACCCTTCACCGTCCAACCTCCACCCATCACCATCCACCCACCAGCATCTACCCACCCCCACCACCCATCACCATCCACCCACCACCGTGCACCCACCAACCTCCACTTTCTACCCTCCACCCTCCACCCACCACCCTCCACTTTTCCCCTCCCCTGACTTTGCACCAATGATGGATCCAAGAGGGGTGAGGGATGGTGGTGGGGGGAGGTTCATGGTGGGAGCAATGCCTCCTGCACCCCCCCCCCCCCCCACCAAACTTGAGAGCGAGAAGATGAACTGTTCGTTAGTGCTGTGCTCGCACTCCCCGCGTATCTGCGTGGGATACACGGCCGGGGTGAGTGGGTGGTGGGGTGGTGGGGGGTGGTGGTGGGGGGGTGGTGGTGGGGAGGTGGTGGTGGGGGGGTGGTGGTGGTGGGGTGGGTGGTGGGGTGGTGGGTGAGTGGGTGGTGGGTGGGAGGGTGGTGGGGGGGTGGTGGTGGGGGGGTGGTGGTGGGGGGGTGGGTGGGGGGGTGGTGGTGGGGGGGTGGTGGTGGGGGGGGGTGGGTGGGTGGTGGTGGGGGTGGTGGGTGGGGGGTGGTGGTGGGGGGGTGGTGGTGGGGGGGTGGGTGGGTGGTGGTGGGGGGGTGGTGGTGGGGGGTGGTGGGTGGGGGGGGTGGTGGGGGGGGTGGTGGGGGGTGGTGGGTGGGGGGGTGGTGGTGGGGGTGGGTGGGGGGGTGGTGGGGGGGTGGTGGGTGGGAGGGGGGTGAGGCGTGACGTCATCACGCACAAACCCAAAACGCTGTGTGCAGAAATCCCAGTGGGATGCAAGTCGAACAATAACAACCATAAGACAATTTAGATTAAAGTTATCGGGCTAACTCTGTACTTCAACAAACAAACATGGCTAAACCAAACGTTTTCGAAATCACCATGAGTTCACTGACTTGAGATGACTGGCAGATGTACCCCCTGTTCTCCCTACTGTCAACTCCCTGCGTTTTAGCTACCCGGCGCTCCGCTCGTTGTTGTGAGCGTCGCTCAAACGCCCTTCGCTGCTGTTAGGAGGGTGACTGCCTCCAACTACTCAGAAGCGTCCTTCACGAGCCTCCTCCGCAGAGGCCACTTTGACACACGGACATCAACACGCAACAATTAGGGAGGCCCATCGACTTTTTGATGAACACAGTAGACATACACAGAATCCAAAGAACACATTCCTGCGGAGGGAGCTGGTAGGAACGTTGGGTTGCTCGGTCAATGGCCAGGGTCAACGGCGGCGTGGTGTATTCCGCAAATATGCCCGACTGTGAGGGCGGGCACAAGCCGGCGTGAGTAGGTTAAACGTTGAGTTTTATAAGGGCACCACGGGGTGACCAGCCCCACCCCCACCCCTCCCCACCCAGCTCCTCCCCACCCGCCTCACCCTCCCCACCCAGCCCCTCCCCACCCTCCCCAACCCTCCCCACCCAGCCCCTCCGTCCCCACCCAGCCCCTCCCTGCACGATGGACGCAATAATCCCCTGTGGGCTGGTGTAACCAGAAGGTTCCTTCCAGTAAAAACCATGAAATACAGGTACGAATGGACGACCATCCAAACAATGGTAAATTAAACACACACACACACTGACACTCAAAACACACAATTCCCCTACCCCCTCTTAGTTAATTGGTTGAGCCCGGGTCCCCCGGGTGAGTGATTGAACCCAAGATTCAACACCTGAGCGGCTCTAATTGAATCGCGAAGATGCCGTGGGGAGAGCGACACACGACGCGATTGTGAACATTCCACATTTCCATGACGGCACCAGGTACATCCATAGTATGAAGAAAAAAATAATAAATAGGTGTTAGCCTTTCTGGCAATAACATAGCAGGTGTTAAGATGTTTAAACACCAAGTAGAAACCTTTTGCAAGGACTCATGTCTGCATTAACCACGCACAGTGTTTACGGTGAACCTGCATATAGAATTGTCTTTGAAGCTGATTGGTCTACAACCAGAAACAGCCTTCGTTAGGGCCTCGTCTCACTAACGTCGGACCAGAGAAGGCCAAACGGCCACCAAGCGATATGGTGCGTCCATATCACTTGAAAAAAAGAAACGAACACATCATCATCAGCATCATCATCATAGATTGCTGGATGAAGGGGCCCACAAGTGAGTTTTCTTTCGGTGTGCCACAAAGATGGAGCAAGTTCAAACCCATGTGCCGTGGAACTAAAGCAACTGTCGTCTCATCACGGCAACCAGAGCCAGAGGAAAGATGATGTCGCATTGAATCTCGAGTCAACAAAGTTGCTACAGAGCATTCACCAGCACCGGGTACGCGGGTCAAACCGGACCTGGATACCATTCACTGCTGGGATATCTGGTTTGTGACGTTGATGCAAAGTTTTAACAAGGTTCGCAACCAGTTTGACAAAAAAAATGCAGTCTACCTGCGTGGTTTTTTTTCTGTAGCGTGCCAAAATTTTTTTCGTGAATTCTCTTTTTAAATCCTTTATATTAAGTTCGCGTGCTTGCTTGCTTGCTTAGGACCGTGCAAATCTTTCGGTCGTTTTTTAACCCACTTCCCGTGATCCAATCGAGCTGACATTTTCCACACAGACTCGTTGTGCCAGACAATTATTGTTCGTGAAAAAAAATTCCCAAAATTTTACACTTTTTAGGCAAAAAAAAAGTATTTTACATATATTCAAATAGAACGCATTCATGGCTTTGGCTGGACGTCAGAGTGTAAGAGCCAAGAGCGTAACCCCTCCACAGGCCGTGGCGGAGTAGCGCAGTTGGTAGCGCCCTCGCTTCCCATGCCAAAGGTCGCGGGATCGATCCCCGCGTCCTCCACAGGCGAATATATTTTTAAATCCTTTATATTAAGTTCGCTGCCACGCATATAAAGGATTTATAGTGAAAAACTTTGTTTTTACGGGTTATACTTATTAAATCCTTTATATTAAGTTCGCTTGCTTGCTTGCGTGCTTGCTTGCTTACTTAGGACCGTGCAAATCTTTCGGTCGTTTTTTAACCCACTTCCCGTGATCCAATCGAGCTGACATTTTCCACACAGACACGTTGTGCGTGACAATGTATTTTCGTGAAAACATTTTTCCAAAATGTTACACTTTTTAGGAAAAAATAAATTATATTTAATTACCAATTGCTTAATGGTGGCAGCCATTCATCTGACCCATAGGTGGCAGCCATCTCAAGCCAGAGGACGAGAGGACTCTAGCCGCCACGCATATAAAGGATTTAGAGTGAAAAACTTTGTTTTTACGGGTTATACTTATTTGCTGTTGTTGCCAACAAACGGACTATCCTGTGTCGCACATTCATCACGAAATGTCTGAAACGTGACGGTCCCCGTTCGCGCAATGGGCGTCATGTCACGAGGCAGAGAAGTGTCCCATTCGGAACTCTTTTCAATACAATTATCAGAACACTTATATTGGAGGAATCCGGTGAGCTATGAAGCTCTTTGTTTTCACAGATATCCAGCAGTGATGCTGCTGTCGTGTTGGTAGCAGAGGTCGCAAACGGGTTTTGATTCCTTACCCGTACCCGTACCCGGCCGCACCAGGGTCGCAAACGGCTACCCGTACCCGGCCGTACACGTACCCTACCCGTACCCGGCCGGGTACGGGTATTGGGTACCCGATTGCGACCTCTGGGATGAAGCCATGTTGCAGGCGCGGGTGGGTTGATTCTAGGAACTTGAATTGTGAGAAGAGACAAGACGTTGGGAAATGAGTGACAAACGGTTACTCACCAGTGACTCACGGTCTACCCGTACCCGGCCGCACCAGGTTCGCAAACGGCTACCTGTACCCGGCCGGGTACGGGTAGCCGGGTATCGGGTAGGGTACGGGTATCGGGTACCCGGTTACGACCTCTGTTTGGTAGTGGCGCACAAGCACAAATAATAACAGCAACACAAACTGCTGCTAATCCTGCATAATGCACGGACACAAGTAGTACTAATCACATACCTGTATTTCCCATGGGTATGCTGGATTCCTCTTGATATGCAAATTATTTTGTCAAGGCGCCCCTTCCCCCCCCCCCTTCCAACCCAGCTTATATATATGCTCCAAGCACGTGTGCTGTTTCATTCAGACGCTGTCGCCTCGACAGACCTGGTTTCACCTGAGGACGGCTGCTTGCGTTGTGGCCGAAACGTCGTGAGAATTATTTTATTATGTTTTATTTTTATTATTTTATTACTTCCCTTCTACGTGACTTTACCGAAAGAACCAAGAAGAAAAAAGAAACACAAACTCAAGTTGAAACAAAATATGTATAAGGTGACATTTCGAGCAATGGGCATTCTTCATCGGCAATTTTACGTGCAATGAAGAAGGGCTATTGCCCGACACGTCGTCTGTTATATAGTTTTCATTTTTAGGCCGCAGAATTATTGGTGAATGTGCTAAGTGTTCTAGAGCAGCGCATCAGGTTGTGTTAGAGAAAGACCCGCGCAAGGAGATGTCACGGAACGACTTCTAAGATCAATTCAAGTGATCTCTTACGCAATCCACGGGATGAGGAATTTCTCACACGCCCTTCTGTAAAAGCGTTCTTTGTATGGCAGTAAAAAATTAACCCGTAAAAACAAAGTTTTTCACTCTAAATCCTTTATATGCGTGGCGGCTAGAGTCCTCTCGTCCTCTGGCTTGAGATGGCTGCCACCTATGGGTCAGATGATTGTCTGCCAGCATTAAGCAATTGGTAATTAAATATAATTTATTTCTCTAAACAGTGTAAAATTTTTGGAAAAAAAATTTCACGAAAATAAATTGTCACGCACAACGAGTCTGTGTGGAAAATGTCAGCTCGATTGGATCACGGGAAGTGGGTTAAAAAACGACCGAAAGATTTGCACGGTCGTAAGCAAGCAAGCACGCAAGCAAGCAAGCAAGCGAACTTAATATAAAGGATTTAAAAAGTGACTTGATTAACCCTCAGATTAAGCATATTGTCAAATTTAGAGAAAAATTCTGATTTCATATGTTGGCTTTTTGTGTTACAGTAATTTGGCCGAAACCATCTACTGTCTGCACTTGAGAAGCCGATTTAATCGCGGGCGGGTAAAACCTGAGTTCAAACCCAGGATCTCGGCCTTGCTGCTGATTTAACGTCTCTGATTTGCGAGTCACCCGGCCGCCAATAACAGACCATTCTTGTTTCCTGGTGGCGCCACTAACCTGTTTCCTCCAGCCGTAAAAAATTGTTTTACTATTTTTTAAGGTTTCACTGAGCTATTTAGCTATTATACTCTAAGTTCTTTCGGTAAAGTCACGTAGGTAAAAAATGAAATTTAAATTAATAAAAACAATAAAATCACGACGTTTCGGAGGCAACACAAGCTTCCGTCTTCAGGTGAAACTGTCACAGCAAAAAATCTGTATCAAGTGGAGAGAAGTCCCAAGAGGCACGACCTTATATACTGGTTTACGTGACTTTACCGAAAGAACTAAGAGTATGAATCCTTGCAGTCACGAAAGCTTCAAATCTAGAATTATTGACTTATTCTTCAGAAGCGATGTTGATTCTAAACGTGGAAGAAACTGTAGAAAAAAATCCATACGACTATGGGGAGAACGTGCAAACTCCAAATATTACCAGCAGGCGTCAGGGTCGAGATGGAACCCACGACCTCCTGTATACCAGGCGAGGCAGTTAACATCTCACCACCGTGGTGCCCGGTACAACGTTTTGGGTTAGACCAAGTCTGTTGAAATATGGGCAGATGAATACCCCACAACCAGCATAGCATTGGTGAGGCCAACTTGCAGCAATGGAATGACAAAGGAATGCACATTTTTGCAATGCGTGCGTGTTGATCAAATAAATACCGTACATTGTTTCCAATCGCGAGTGGCATGCGATATGATCGGATGCTCGGCCATCATCCCCAGTTGTCACCTGTCCCGCTTTAGGCAGCTGTTGTTCTTAGAATTGTGTCTTTCCTGGATAATTAAATGTCCTGCTTGTTGACTCAAGAGCCGCATTGGCTCACAGGGCTATACCTAATACCTAATAAATGAAACTTGAAAATGTTATCTTCTTGGTTCTTTCGGTAAAGTCACGTAGAAGGGAAGTAATACAATAATAAAAATAAAACATAAAACAATTCTCACGACGTTTCGGCCACAACGCAAGCAGCCGTCCTCAGGTGAAAAACCAGGTCTGTCGAGGCTGTCGCCTCGTGATAATTATATTATTATGTTTTCTTTTTATTATTTTATTACTTCCCTTCTACGTGACTTTACCGAAAGAACCAAGAAGATGAATCCCTGCAGTCACGAAAGCTTTAAATCGAAATTGAAAATTTGAATTGCATGATAATACTCTGCGATACTCAACTCAAGACGACGTCTTTACACGCAGTGTATTTAACCCCCTCTTGTGATAATGTCAGATATTTGTCTCATTGTTATTGCATTACAGTATAAATGTCCGGTATTTGTGGTATCTCATAGATGGCAGTCCCTACCCACTGCTGTTGTCTTATCTTATTTGATCTTATTTTACGTTTATAAAGCGGCTTAACCCAATGCGCTCTTTCGCATATTTCAAAAGCGGAAACAGACGCTGTCTTTCCGACAGACCTGTTTTTCACCTGAGGACGGCTGCTTGCGTTGTGGCCGAAACGTCGTAAGAATTGTATTTTATTATGTTTTATTTTTATTATTTTATTATTTCCCTTCTACGTGACTTTACCGAAAGAACCAAGAAGAGAAATAGAGCTCTGGAGATGGCAGGGGCGCGCAAGTGCTGAGGAACGAGTGACCGTAACAGAGGGCACGCAGAGGTCACGAAAGGTCATCAGGGGAGGGACGGGAAGGAGTGGAGGGGCGAGGGGAGGGAAGAGGAAGGGAATTGGCAAATGGGGTCGAGGTGGAGCTTTACGAGATGAATGAAAGGAGGTTACGGAAGTGGACCGCGACATGTACGAGGGGGACGTTTACGCTTGCTCCAATGGAGGGGTGCAAGGAGGGAGAAGTATAGACCACGAGATGGGGCACAGGGAGAAGGGACAGAGAGAGACAGAGAAGATTGTCCTCCCCTCCTCTCCATTACCCCCTATCCTGTTATGCCACCACACTGTCACCACACTGTACCTCGTTACACCACTATCCAGTTACCTCACTTCACAAACACCCCATTACCACTCTACCCCATTAGCACACTACCCTGTTGCCCTACTACCACACTACCCTGTTACTACACGACCACGTTACTCCACTCCCCTGCTGCCACACTCCCCCATTACCCCACTACCCCATTACACCACTACCCCATTACCCCACTACCCCACTATCCCACTACCCCATTACCCCACTACCCCATTACCATATTACCCCATTACCCCACTACCCCATTACCCAACTACCCCATTACACCACTCCCCCATTACCCCACTACCCCACTACCCCATTACCCTATTACCCCATTACCCCACTACCCCATTACCCCACTACCCCATTACCCCACTACCCCATTACCCCACTACCCCATTACCCCATTACCCCATTACCCCACTACCCCATTACCCCACTACCCCATTACCCCACTACCCCATTACCCCACTACCCCATTACCCCACTACCCCACTTCCCCCACGACCACACTGCCTTGTTACTCCACTCCCCCCATGACCCCATAACCCCACTACCCCTCCAACGGTTAACCCCACTACCCCCCTTGTGACCTTGTGACCCCGTTACCCCCCCCCCCCCGTCACACCCGCTGTAGGTTGCTTCGCCTTCTGGTGCTTCCCCTGCTTCACCTGCAGCACGGCGTCAAAGTTCGGCGAGTGCTGCTGCCTGCCCATGCTGGACACGATGTGTTTCTTTAGCGCCCCAGCCATCGGCATCAGCATGCGCTCCAGCATCCGCGAGCGATACGGCATCCACGTGAGACGCTCTTCCCAGCCGCGGGATTCATTTCGATTAATTCTAGATTTGAAGCTTTCGTGTGACTGCAAGGATTCATCACGGCAAAGTGTGGACCGATATAATCTGTTCCTTCTGTGACTGCAAGGATTCATCACGGCAAAGTGTGGACCGATATAATCTGTTCCTTCTGTGACTGCAAGGATTCATCACGGCAAAGTGTGGACCGATATAATCTGTTCCTTCTGTGCGGGATCGAGTGTTGCCCCCTCGCACAATGTGTGGATTTTCTTCGGGCGCTCCGGTTTCCTTCCCACGTGCACAATGAGCACTCTGCTAATTTGCTGAAACCATCTTAATATGCAGAGGACTGCAGAGCAATTGTTGGCGCAGGCTCACTGCCTCGCAGCCTTCCAGCTTGTCCGCTGTTCGTCAGCGATTGCGAAATGCAATTTGCATGAACGACGCTAATATATGAAATCATTAGAATTTGTTTTATACTTAAAAGAGGAGGTTGAGGTGTGGGGGGGGGTTCAGCCACAGCTATAGGTGATTGGGGCTCCCTCGGGGGGCTTTGTCTAAACTAGTAAACTTTTTTTTTTATTTTACCAGGTAAGGCCCACTGAGCTATGTAGCTCTTTTTCAGAAGCGACCTGGCCACAAATGATAGCTCAACGAAGTGGATTATCACGTGGGCAATTCTAGCCACCAAATACTCTAAACGTGTGTCTGAACGTGGTGGGGAAAACCGGAGGACCCGGAGAAAAATACACGCGACCACGGGCAGAGGGACACGCAAACTCCAAATATACAGCAGGCGTCAGGGTCGGGATTGAACCCACGACCTCCTGTATACCAGGCGAGGTAGTTGACATCCCATCAGGGTCGGGATCGAACCCACGATCTCCTGTATACCAGGCGAGGTAGTTGACATCTCATCAGGGTCGAGATTGAACCCACGACCTCCTGTATACCAGGCGAGGTAGTTGACATCTCATCAGGGTCGGGATCGAACCCACGACCTCCTGTAAACCAGGCGAGGTAGTGGACAACTCATCAGAATCGGGATCGAACCCACGACCTCCTGTATACCAGGCGAGGTAGTTGACATCTCATCAGGGTCGGGATCGAACCCACGACCTCCTGTATACCAGGCGAGGTAGTTGACATCCCATCAGGGTCGGGATCGAACCCACGACCTCCTGTATACCAGGCGAGGTAGTTGACATATCACCAGAGAGTGGGTGCCGCTACGCACGGTCTTGGCGCACGCTCCGACAATTGTCTGACCCTCGTCCGAATGCCCCCCCCTCCCTCTGCTGCGCGTGCTGCCAGGGCTCCATCTGCGACGACTGCGTCATCATGTGGTGCTGTACCACCTGCGGATGGTGCCAGATTGCTCGCGAGCTCAAGTTCCGACAGATGCCCGTCACCGTCGTCTCTCAGACGACGGTGATTGGCTAGAGACCACTCACCACCGCCGCTCCCCACGCCGCGCGGGTTACCACGTGACCGTGCGGGCGACCACGTGACCGTGCGGATGGGATTCTGGCGACACGTGGCGAGCACAATCGTGCATTGCCCACGTGTGGTTTCCAGCGCCTTCGCTCACGATCTCGGCGAACGGAACTTGCGTTGGATTTGCTCGGTCACGGCGTTCGGAAATGCGGGGGGGTGGGGGCGTTCTTCGTGAATTTTATCCACGCGGCATCGAAGTCAGCTGAAGCCTCCAGTTAAATCAGGCGGCTTCTGTGTGGCCACCCAAGATTCTGAATGCCTCCCCTCTCCCCACCCGCTGTGAAAACAGCACGCTGCTTCTCCTTGAGGCTCACTCCTGCTTGCTTATTCATTCTCTCCCTTCGCTCTTTTCCCTCCCCTCTCACCATCACCCTCTCATTGCCGGCATCTTGACCCAGTCATTCCTTCTCCCCGTTGCTGCTGCTGCTGCTCATCTTGAGCCGTTACCTTTTAATCCGTCTTGGCGACTTCCGTGCCAACATCCCTTCACTTCACTTCCCCTCTTCCTTTCTATGTATCAATGTTTGACTCCGCTTCGCGTTCCGTGTTGGTGTTTCACACGCGAAGAGTTTTTTGTCATTACGCATATGATGCTAAAAACTGTAATCACTATTTCTGCATTTAAACATGTATAAGTCACGTAAATAGCTGGATTTCCACGAAGAATTGGGAGCAACAAAGAATGTTTTTTTTAATTGAAAGATATATATTGAACTGCTACGTTGGCGTTATATAAACTGTGATTACGTTATTTCACACGACTCCTGGCACTATTCTCTGATAACGCGTTGCTTGTATCTTAGCATCCGGATCACAAATGTCTACGATTGGATGGAATCAGCCACGTGTTCCTTAAAACGCGTTCTGCCTCTATGTTCTTTCTAAGACGTGGCCTTATTCAATTTTAACTCTGCCCTTGACATTCACTCAAGAACTTTTAATTGGGTAGTCCCAGTTGCATACAGTTGTAGCTTGTCGTGTGACCTAATTATCTCTCTTCCCCAGTTTCTTGTACCTGTAATGATGTTACCAAGCCACAACCAATGTATATTCAGTCTCTTGTATTCTCATGGCAGGTCCAAGAAATCTAACACTGCCTCTCTATAATTATTATCATTCATCCTGCTATGTGTAACACAATTATGTTACTCATCTTGTATATTCTGTCACTTCTGGTTTGCTCTGGAAGAGAACAGACCTTGTGTAACACTGCAGCATTCAAATTTTTGTTGTCAATAATATCTTATAGTTGACTGTAATTTACACCTTTTGAAAGAAAAAAAATATATATGTTTTGCTTATTCACTGCATCCTACATGCATAAATATATATAAGCACCCAGGTCTGTCATTCTGTCATTGTGTGATTAACGCGGCACGGATTGGTTGAAGTGCGTCACGTGACCGCGAGCAAACAGCCAACCAGAGGAGCGCCCCTGACAAACATGTACGCCCCCCCAGCTAATGTTGCGCCCTAATAAGGCGCTGTGGGCAGCTGATCTGCCAGCACGCTCAGGAGGGGCCGACAGGGGTGGGGGCTGAGGGGGAGGGGGGCTGCGGGGAGGGGGGCTGAGGGGGAGGGGGACCCCCCCACCACCAATTCCTGAGACCCCTTAAAATAAGACCTTCCAAATAATCCTAACTGTTATTTCAGTGATGAATAAGTCATAGCTCTTAGAAGTGAATGTAAATCTCACAACTAAAGTTTCAATACATTTCCATTCATTCACATTAAAATTACATCGCGGGATCGTCAAAGAAGGTCTGTAGAGTGACAGTTTTAACTGAAAGCCGCTTAAAGCCGCTCTTATTCGCCTTATTGAAAGTCCTCAAGTACAGCAAAGCCTATATTCTTGGTTCTTTCGGTAAAGTCACGTAGAAGGGAAACAATATAATAATAAAAATATGTTTTATTTTTAACCCGGCAGAATATGAATCCCTGCAGTCACGAAAGCTTAAAATCAACATTTTACAGCAAAGCCGTTCGTGTTGTTGGGGGGGCGACGCAATGCATCACGGACATATTCAATGCTGTAATGCATACACAATGCTTTTTTGAAAGTGTAACATTTTATCCATAGTATCACCCACATAAATGTTAACATAATAAACACGACTTTTTTAAAGCTTGCCTATTCAATGCTTTTTCAACGACCCAATGAGGAGCATCTCTGGCTTCGATCTTCCACAAAGTGTTCCGGGCAGAACCCTAAACCACGTGGGCACAACACACCATGGAGCAGCGCAAGCGGACCGCTTGATGCACACGTGGAATATTCAAAACCCTCCAGCAGTCTATAATTCTAGATTTGAAGCTTTCGTGACTGCAAGGATTCATATTCTTAGTTCTTTCGGTAAAGTCACGTAGGTAAAAAATGAAATTAAAATTAATAAAAAAATTTAAATCACGACGTTTCGGAGGCAACACAAGCCTCCGTCTTCAGGTGAAACTGTCACAGCAAAAAAAATCTGTATCAAGTGAAGAGAAGTCGTATCTCTTGGGACTTCTCTCCACTTGATACAGATTTTTTCCTCCAGCAGTCTGTCCGCGACTGTGGGTCACCCGTTCTGAACGGACGACAGAACTCAATGCCCGATTTCACTGCTATTCACCGCTCCGCTCGCTACTCCAGGCGCAATCATCTGGATCGACCGCCTCCGTTGTAAGATGAGTCGTTCCTCTACACCTGCATCGGCCAAAAATAGAAGAAGATTCAAAGTCTGGTATGGTAGCCAGAGTGGTTTTGCAGCACACTGCGCTGTAAACCCGGCAACCTGAGTTTGAGTCCTGGCCACGGCTGTCGGTGGAGAATGCCATCTGTAGGATGAACCGACTATAGCAAAGTATGTTCATCAGTTTGTTACTAGTAGGAACCTCCTGGTTACACCAGCCCACGGGATTATTGTGTCCGTCCGTCGTGCAGGGAGGGGCTGGGTGGGTGGGGAGGGGCTGGGTGGAGAGGGACTGGGTGGGGAGGGTGGGGAGGGGCTGGGTGGGGAGGGTGGGGAGGGGCTTGATGGGGAGGGTGGGGGGTGGGAGGGGTGGGGCTGGGTGGGAAGGGAGTGGTCACCCCGTGGTGCCCTTATAAAACTCAACGTTTAACCTACTCACGCCGGCTTGTGCCCGCCCTCACAGTCGACCATATTTGCGGAATACACCACGCCGCCGTTGACCCTGGCCATTGACCGAGCAACCCAACGTTCCTACCAGCTCCCTCCGCAGGAATGTGTTAATGTTAAAGATAAGAAAAAAAAACGTGAAATTCATGCCCGCACCAACTTGCGTCTTTAGAGCTTTCTACTGGACATCTGAGAAATAGATCTTGACAATATAGTGAATCGAATCCCTCAAGTATATTCTGGTTCTGAAAAATATGATGCAAACGTGTGCCTTCATGGGTCGTGTAAGAAGCGGTGACGCATTTGGTCGGAGAAGGCAGCAAGAATAACCTGTTTACCCATTTGATAGAATCTCGTCCGATTGCACCAATGGATGCGAGCAATGGGTGGAGTAAAGAAGGTAGGTTGCGGATCTGGGGTTAGGCTTAATGATTTAAAATAAATCAAACTAGCAGTGTTCAGTAGTTACACATCTTTATTCGTGGCCGTGAGCCTGTGACAAAGTAAGTAGACAAGAAACCACCGAAGCGAATTGATAAATGACGTTAAGAGACAGTCATTACGGATTTATCTCATACGATGACTGTTTTATTGGTTCGGATATACGAGAGATATAATTATTGAGAATAAAAAAAACATTAGTTTTAATAAGACCTGCAAGTAATTGAGATGACAAAATGTAGCCGTATTCAGTGTAATTGGTTGGAAATGTGTCTCATCGTGACGAAAGACGAGCGAGACATTAGGTCTGTTTGGCTAAAACACATTTCTGCGGGGGGAGCTGGTAGGAACGTTGGGATGCTCGGTCAATGGCCAGGGTCAACGGCGGCGTGGTGTATTCCGCAAATATGCCCGACTGTGAGAGCGGGCACAATCCAGCGTGAGTAGGTTAAACGTTGAGTTTTATAAGGGCACCACGGGATGACCAGCCCCTCCCCACCCAGCCCCACCCCTCCCACCCCCCACCCAGCCCCACCCTCCCCACCCAGCCCCACCCTCCCCACCCAGCCCCTCCCCACCCAGCCCCTCCCTCTCAACCTAGCCCCACCCCTACCATTGTTGGATGCACGACGGACGGACGGACGGGCACAATAATCCCCTGTGGGCTGGTGTAACCAGGATGTTCTTACCAGTATAACGCGAGCAATTGCATGGCAGAACGCTGAGTGGGTGCGTAATTGTTTAGACATTCGCTCACGTTTCCGTGAACTTCACTCGGTGTTCTACCAGTGTCGAGGACTCACGTCTACGGTTTCGTCTCATCCACAGTGTTCAACCACCACACTGATGGCATGTCACACATTGACCGACTCACTCATCCGCTCACCACACCCGCTCACGCCACACCTGCTCGGCTTATTCCATTCGTACTTTCCCTACTTCGGAATGATCTGCCATCGTCCACCCTCTACAAAAAATTCTTACAACCTTGCTCACTTCGAAAAACGTATTAATGTATCATCTATTACAACGTCAAGAGTGCCGTTTGTTGCTGGCGGCTTGGCGTTTTGGGCCATTGGACTTGTGTATGGCCCAGCAACCACGATTAAAAAAATACAGGGGTGGCCCAAACGTCAGGAGACATTGGATTTTATTATATTTATTTTAACAAATCACATAGCCACGTAGAAGGGAAATTATAAAATAATAGAAATATCCACAGCAAGAAAATTTAAAAAAAAAATGTTCAAATTTTCTTGCAGTGGATTTCACACCTGATGATGATTGCTTGTGTTGCAGTCGAAACGTCGTGATAATTTTAATTGTTTTATATTTATATTATTTTATTATTTCCATTCTACGTGACTTTACCAAAAGAACCAAGAATATGAATCCCTGCAGTCACGAAAGATTTAAATCAAAATCAAGTAGCGTTATTTCATTTATTTTAACAAATGTAAAAACCAACTGCCGTTGACATGAATGCACGCACATTATCTTTTGAAATGAATTTAGGGCTTTGTCCTTTTAAAGATTAGCGGAGTAATATTTTGGAACATTCGTCAACTGTTTTGTCATTTATGTGAATTCTATTTCCATTTTTAAAATGTCATCTCAAAACGAGGAATCAAAATCAATATGAATAATGATACTCAATAGAATATTAACTTAAGAAATAAACAATTACGATGTTTTAATGCCAATGTTGGGCCACTCTATATATATCTGCGACTCCCAATATGACCGCGAGATGGCGCCCTTGGTCCAACGTTCCAATATCGTCACCCTCAAAGTTGGGCTGTTGGGGGATCAGTTTTCTATCTTGTCGTACGGCTGCTGATGTAGATGCAACATCTACAATGTCACATTCAGGTGGTTCAAGCTCAGATAATCGCGTCAGTAGCAGCGGAGTGTATCGCTGCGAAGTTTCTTTCGTATTTGTGGATCGGGGCATTGCGTCTGTTGCACGTTGTACGGTCTGTTCTGGATGACCACAGTCACAGCACTACTACTAGAGAGGTTTTTTTTACAGCAGCCAAATACTCTAAACGTGTGACGTTTATAACTAGAGGTGGATGGAAAAACCAGAGGGCCTGGAGAAAGATCCACGCCACCACGGGGAGAGAGAGACACGCAAACTCCAAATACACAACAACAGGCATAGTCAGGCCCAGGATGGAGCCCACGACCTCCTGTATACCAGGCGAGGTAGTTAACATCTCCGAGCCACCGTGAGGGTGATGACAGAGACACTCAAACTCCAAATATACAGCAGGCATCGTCAGGGTCGGGATAGAACCCACGACCTCCTGTATACCTGGCGAGGTAGTTGACATCCCATCAGGGTCGAGATTGAGCCCACGACCTCCTGTATACCAGGCGAGGTAGTTGACATCCCATCAGGGTCGGGATTGAACCCACGACCTCCTATATACCAGGCGAGGTAGTTGACATCCCATCAGGGTCGGGATTGAACCCACGACCTCCTGTATACCAGGCGAGGTAGTTGACATCTCATCAGGGTCGGGATTGAACCCACGACCTCCTGTATACCAGGCGAGGTAGTTGACATCCCATCAGGGTCGGGATTGAACCCACGACCTCCTGTATACCAGGCGAGGTAGTTGACATCCCATCAGGGTCGGGATTGAACCCACGACCTCCTGTATACCAGGCGAGGTAGTTGACATCTCATCAGGGTCGGGATTGAACCCACGACCTCCTGTATACCAGGCGAGGTAGTTGACATCTCATCAGGGTCGGGATTGAACCCACGACCTCCTGTATACCAGGCGAGGTAGTTGACATCCCATCAGGGTCGGGATTGAACCCACGACCTCCTGTAAACCAGGCGAGGTAGTTGACATCTCATCAGGGTCGGGATTGAACCCACGACCTCCTGTAAACCAGGCGAGGTAGTTGACATCCCATCAGGGTCGGGATTGAACCCACGACCTTCTGTAAACCAGGCGAGGTAGTTGACATCCCATCAGGGTCGGGATTGAACCCACGACCTCCTGTATACCAGGCGAGGTAGTTGACATCTCATCAGGGTCGGGATTGAACCCACGACCTCCTGTAAACCAGGCGAGGTAGTTGACATCCCATCAGGGTCGGGATTGAACCCACGACCTCCTGTAAACCAGGCGAGGTGGTTGACATCCCATCAGGGTCGGGATTGAACCCACGACCTCCTGTAAACCAGGCGAGGTAGTTGACATCCCATCAGGGTCGGGATTGAACCCTACCAGGCGAGGTAGTTGACATCTCATCAGGGTCGGGATTGAACCCACGACCTCCTGTATACCAGGCGAGGTAGTTGACATCCCATCAGGGTCGGGATGGAACCCACGACCTTCTGTAAACCAGGCGAGGTAGTTGACATCCCATCAGGGTCGGGATTGAACCTACGACCTCCTGTAAACCAGGCGAGGTAGCTAACATCTCCTAAGCCACCGTGTCGTCCTGGGACGCTGTCAGAGCACTGCGTCCGTGTGACAGATTCACATTTCACAAACGAGTGAAGACAAATAAACCAGAGTGATTCGTGTTGGTCGTGGGCCAGTTTCTGCCTTGCAGCAGTTTGGCGCACAGCGGCCTGGGTCACCAAAATTAGTAAAAAAAAACAAAGTGCTGTGCTGCAAAGCAATGTTGCAAAATATAATCTGTGTTAAAAAAATAAAACAATACATTTTTTCGGGTAACATAACACTTTTTATTATCAGCATGTTTTATTTTGGGGGGGGCAGAGCTTTGTGACGTCATATTTGAGTGGGGGGGGGGTCTGACTTTTTGTGACGCCGTGTGACGAGGGGGGGGGGGACAAATCTTTGTGACGTCATATTTGAGTGGGGGGGGGGGACAAATCTTTGTGACGTCATATTTGAGTGGGGGGGGGGGGACAAAGCTTTGTGACGTCATATTTGAGTGGGGGGGGACAAAGCTTTGTGACGTCATATTTGAGTGGGGGGGGACAAAGCTTTGTGACGTCATATTTGAGTGGGGGGGGGACAAAGCTTTGTGACGTCATATTTGAGTGGGGGGGGGACAAAGCTTTGTGACGTCATATTTGAGTGGGGGGGGGACAAAGCTTTGTGACGTCATATTTGAGTGGGGGGGGGACAAAGCTTTGTGACGTCATATTTGAGTGGGGGGGGGACAAATCTTTGTGACGTCATATTTGAGTGGGGGGGGGACAAAGCTTTGTGACGTCATATTTGAGGGGGGGGGGTCTGACTCTTTGTGACGCCGTGTGACGAGGGGGGGGGGGGGTCAAAAATCGTCCAAAATTGCGTGACGTCATTTATGGTCAACCCGAATCATCGCTGTGTCCCCCCCTCTCTCTATTTAAGGCCTCGTCACAGAGACGATCTCTCTCTATGTATCTTGGTGATATCTGTCTGCTTATATGTCTGTCTATATTTCGATTTAAAGCTTTCGTGACTGCAGGGATTCATCTTCTTGGTTCTTTCGGTAGAGTCACGTAGAAGGGAAGTAATAAAATAATAAAAATAAAACATAATAAAATAATTCTCACGACGTTTCGGCCACAACGCCTCGACAGACCTGGTTTCACCTGAGGACGGCTGCTTGCGTTGTGGCCGAAACGTCGTGAGAATTATTTTATTATGTTTTATTTTTATTATTTTATTACTTCCCTTCTACGTGACTTTACCGAAAGAACCAAGAAGATGTCTGTCTATAGTTTTCTGGTTAGATTTTTGTTGCCATTTCTTTTATACCTGATGGCAATTGCTTGTGTTGCAATCGAAACGTCGTATGCTAGTATTTAATTTATTATTTTATCTTTATACGTGACTTTACCGAAAGAACCAAAGAGTAATTCCTGCAGTCACGAAAGCTCCAAATTAAGATTCCCCTACTCCCCTCTCTCTCATCTTGGCATCGCCCAACTCCAAAACCCCACCCGACTCTCGATGCCTAAGCGAGCTATCAAATTATAATCGCAGCCGCGCGCCATAGCTTATTGATACTACCATGTCTAACTCCTCTGCTCTCCACGCATATACGCGTTGTCAAATGTAATCGGCGCTCCGTAGCGTATCGATACTACCATATCAGTCCCCGTCGCTCTTCACGCCTACACGCGCTATCAAATGTAATAGCAGCAACGCTCCGTAGCGTATCAATATTACCATATCAGCCTACGTCGCTCTTCACGCTTATACTCGCTATCAAATGTAATCGGCGCTCCGTAGCGTATCGATACTACCATATCAGCTCCCCGTGACTTTCCACGCCTACACGCGCTATCAAATATAATCGCAGCAACGCTCCGTAGCGTATCGATACTACCATATCAGCCCCCACGTCGCTCTCCACGCCTACACGCGCTATCAATTCTAATCGCGGTTCGCGCATGCGCACGGACAAACCCCGCGCGCGCCGCGAGTCATGGCGGCCGCGGCGGCGACATCGACAGCGGCGGCGGCTCCCGCGCTCGGCGGCGCCGCGTTGCTCCATCGCAGCGTGGAGCGCGCCCTGGAGGACGCCTGCCTCTCCGGGGTGCTCAACCTGAGCGGCAGGAAGCTCAAGGACTTCCCCAGGAGCACCGCCAGCTTCGATCTCTCCGACGTGACGGAGGCGGGTGGGTGCCCTGCTCATGCTCATACCAGCGACTTTGCAAAAGCCGCCGCCTCCGCTCGTTTTTGATTTCGCAGTCTGGATGCGCGGACGCCGTTCGCCGCTGCTGCCCGCGTACATATCGGGGGGGAGTGGGGGGGGGGGAGAGTGGGGGGAGAGAGTGAGGGGTGTGGGGGGAGCGTGGGGGGGGAGAGTGAGGGGTGTGGGGGGGGAGAGTGAGGGGTGTGGGGGGAGCGTGGGGGGGAGCGTGGGGGGGGGGAGAGTGAGGGGTGTGGGGGGGAGAGTGAGGGGTGTGGGGGGAGCGTGGGGGGGGAGAGTGAGGGGTGTAGGGGGGGAGAGTGAGGGGTGGTGGGGGGGAGCGTGGGGGGGAGCGTGGGGGAGCGTGAGGGGTGTAGGGGGGAGAGTGAGGGTGGGGGTGGGGGGGAGCGTGGGGGGGGGGAGGGAGGGGTGAGGGAGGAGAGTGAGGGGTGGGGGGGAGGGGGGGGGGGAGAGTGAGGGGTGTGGGGGGAGCGTGGGGGGGGAGGAGAGTGGGGGGAGTGGGGGGGAGGTGAGGGGTGTGGGGGGAGAGTGGGGGGGGAGAGTGGGGGTGGGGGGGGAGAGGTGAGGGGGGTGGTGGGGGAGGTGGGGGGGTGGGGGGGGAGAGTGAGGGGTTGGGGGGAGAGTGAGGGGTGTGGGGGGGAGCGTGGGGGGGAGGGGAGGGTGTGGGGGGGAGAGTGAGGGGTGTGGGGGGGAGAGTGGGGGGGGAGGTGAGGGGTGTGGGGGGGAGAGTGGGGGGGAGGGCGTGGGGGGGGGGAGAGTGAGGGGTGTGGGGGGGGAGGTGGGGGGGAGCGTGGGGGGGGAGGAGGGGTGTGGGGGAGCGTGGGGGGGAGGGGGGGGGGGAGAGTGGGGGTGGGGGGGGGAGAGAGTGGGGGGGAGGGGGGGGGGAGAGTGAGGGGTGTGGGGGGGAGCGTGGGGGGCAGCGTGGGGGGGGAGAGTGAGGGGTGTGGGGGTGAGCGTGGGGGGGAGCGTGGGGGGGGGAGAGTGAGGGGTTGTGGGGGGGAGAGTGAGGGGTGTGGGGGGAGCGTGGGGGGGGAGAGTGAGGGGTGTGTGGGGGGGAGAGTGGGGGGGAGCGTGGGGGGGGGAGAGTGAGGGGTGGGGGGAGCGTGGGGTGGGAGCGTGGGGCGGGAGAGTGAGGGGTGCTGGGGGGGGAGAGTGAGGGGCGTGTGGGGGGGAGCGTGGGGAGGGGGGGAGAGTGAGGGGGGTGTGGGAGGGGGAGAGACTGTGGGGGTGTGGGCGAGGTGGGGAGAGAGGAGGGGTGTGGGGGGAGCGTGGGCGGGGGGGAGAGTGAGGGGTGTGGGGGGAGGTGGGGGGGAGCGTGGGGGGGAGAGTGAGGGGTGTGGGGGGAGCGTGGGGGGAGCGTGGGGGGGAGAGTGAGGGGTGTGGGGGGAGCGTGGGGGGGGAGAGTGAGGGGTGTGGGGGGGAGAGTGAGGGGTGTGGGGGGGAGAGTGGGGGGAGAGAGTGAGGGGTGTGGGGGGAGCGTGGGGGGGAGAGTGGGGGGAGAGAGTGAGGGGTGTGGGGGGAGCGTGGGGGGGAGCGTGGGGGGGGGAGAGTGAGGGGTGTGGGGGGAGCGTGGGGGGGGTGAGTGGGGGGGGAGTGAAGGGCGTGGGGGGGTGTGTGGGGGGGGAGAGTGAGGGGTGTGGGGGGGAGAGTGAGGGGTGTGGGGGGAGCGTGGGGGGGAGAGTGAGGGGTGTGGGGGGGAGAGTGGGGGGAGAGAGTGAGGGGTGTGGGGGGAGCGTGGGGGGGAGAGTGGGGGGAGAGAGTGAGGGGTGGGGGGGAGCGTGGGGGGGGGAGAGTGAGGGGTGTGGGGGGAGCGTGGGGGGGTGAGTGGGGGGGGAGCGTGGGAGGGGGGGGAGTGAAGGGCGTGGGGGGGTGTGTGGGGGGGGAGAGTGAGGGGTGTGGGGGGGAGAGTGAGGGGTGTGGGGGGAGCGTGGGGGGGGAGAGTGAGGGGTGTGGGGGGGAGAGTGGGGGGAGAGAGTGAGGGGTGTGGGGGGAGCGTGGGGGGGGAGAGTGGGGGGAGAGAGTGAGGGGTGTGGGGGGAGCGTGGGGGGGAGCGTGGGGGGGGAGAGTGAGGGGTGTGGGGGGAGCGTGGGGGGGTGAGTGGGGGGGGAGCGTGGGAGGGGGGGGAGTGAAGGGCGTGGGTGGGTGGGGGGGGCTCGAGGTTGGCCGTGCGGATGCGGGCTATGAAATGCAAGAGCGCTTCCGCGTGCACTTCGTGGCCCCCACACGCCGCTCGCTGTCGCCTCTCTCCACCCCGTGGGGCAGAGCGACAATTCGTGCCCGAGGCTTGGCCAGGAGTCGCGTTATTTACTTCCACGGGTCGTGAAAGCCACGATTCGTCGTCGTTGCCCACGTGAGGAGAATGTAAACAATGTCCGATAAATCTTCTTGGTTCTTTCGGTAAAGTTACGTAGAAGGGAAGTAATAAAATAATAAAAATAAAACATAATAAAATAATTCTCACGACGTTTCGGCCACAACGCAAGCAGCCGTCCTCAGGTGAAAAACCAGGTCCGTCGAGGCGACAGAGTCTGAATGAAACAGCACACGAGCTTGGAGCATATATATATATAAGCTGGGCGCCTTGACAAAGGAATTTGCATATCAAGAGGAATTTAGCATATTTATGGGAAATGCAGGAATGTGATTAGTACTGCATGTGCATTATGCAGGATTAACAGCATCAATCTCCGATAAAGTTGTGCCACCTCTGGTGCTGAACCGTACGGACGAGTGACACAATACGAAAGTGTGAATCGACTCTGTTGGACGTGATGCCTCGTTAAGGTTTCGCTGTATTTGTGACCTGCTGCTTGCTACTGCTATGAGAATACCGGCTGTACGTGTGTTAGCGTATCCCTGTTTACACGAGAGAGGCAAGTGGCAATAGCTTACAGACAGCGTGGCCAAGCCCGAGCTGAACCAACGCTCAACAAACCGCGTTTGACAATCCGTCCAGGCTGCGATGTCGGAGCCGTGAGTGTTATCATTTCTGGGTAGATTGTAGAACTGTGAGCATTTACATTGGCTCCGTACGCTCCCACAGTCGTTAATAGCCGCTATTTTGACAAAGGGGCAGTTTGCTGGAGCTCACAATGCCACCCCACGAACGCGTCGCTGAAACTTAAGACGATTGTTCAGGAAAATCATGCGTTGGCTAATTCCATGAAATCATGTTTAGCTTTTTGTGCCGGAGGAAATTGGAGGGGGTGACACTAATCCACACCTCGCAGCTCTGATTACTACAATACCTGGCAAACCCATGTACTGGTCACCCATTCAAGTACTAACCAGGTGCCAGCCTGCTTGGCTTCTGAGATCTGACTATCTGAAGCGTTTTGAGTGATTTGTTTGTAGGCAAATGATGTTCGTTGTGATGATGGCAGCCATGGTAACGCTTGTATGTGTGTGTGTGTGAGACCACACACACACATACAAGTGTTACACTGAGGAGCGGTAGTGTAGCGGTTAGCACGCTGCGCTACGAACCCGGCGACCCGGGTTCAATTCCCACTCGCGGTCGACACGAGCGACGATTGTCTGAGCTGGTCCTCGTCCTCCCCTAGGTCGACTCGGCCTCAAATTAATACCTGGTGCGGTGTGTAAACATCGCTACGAGAGAGGCAAAGGCAGCCGGGCATGGTGTTGGCCAACCATCCCATCGTGTGCCGGCCTTCATAGGTGCTCGCTAACAGCACTTTCCCTAAACGTATGTTAAAATTATACAGAAGATTTTTGTCTTTTGTGACTACACCATCCACATGCAGCACTACAGACAATTGTGGCTTAACGTACTTAACGTACTACGGTACAGCAAGGCGTCCCTAGAGCAGCCCACTCGTCCCCACATGCCCTAGCTTTCCATTTTTTCAAATTCCCAGCATTCAGCCTTGGGATTCTGAGTGGATGATTCGTTGCTGTAAATGTATTACAGTACATATGCATGACAAGGCACACAAGGCTACAATAATTAAACGTTTTAAATGTGATATTTTTTTTTCCCTTCCAGTATTGTTACTTTGTTACATAGGCAGTCTTTATTTTTCCTTGAGGCTAAGCCGATTATAACCGATTGGAGTGGTCATATGTCGTGGTGTTCCACATGGCGTGCTAACTGTGCAAGTGCCCTCTTGCATTAGCAGGCCGTCGATTAATTTTCCTATGTCGGGAGCCCCTGTGGGAGCACAGCTATGTGGCTGACAGATGCATGACATCTCCACTGCTAGCGGTGCTGCGTAAAACTCCCAAATCCCTGCGCCAAAGTTTCATCTCGACCCGAGACTCGGCAAACATCCACGCAATTACTCCACTCTTCCACGCACGGCCCCATGGGTAGTCGCCACAGAAATGCCCTCCCGTCTGCCACGGCAACAGAAGAGGCATTCGGGGGCTCTCTATGGGCAGGGTTTGTCTAGCGGGTCGGAGCACATTTGCTTTGTGTGGCAATAAAATCCATGGCATCGGCTGTTAGGGCGACTCCTGGAAAACATGAGCGCCTTTAAATCCGACTCCTGGTCCGAGTGCACAATTAGCGGTTGCTCACAGCTGTGATATCAGTCGAGCGTTTCCTAAATATTGCAGTCGATAAGGTCAGCCTGGGATTTCCGCTGTGCTGCCAGGGAAAGGTTGCACCCTAGCCCCGTATGGATAATTAGGGCGGCTGTCAGTGCTCGGGGTGAATGGCGAAGGCTTTGAGTGGTCGTCTACTTCGGGAGGGAAGAAAAATAAAAGAAAAACCCTCGCCACTTTTTCTCCAATTTGGCCGTCGAGCTCCTGAGCCAGAGCCGGCTGCCTGGCCGCCTCTGCACAAGGAGGGGCCCAGTGCCATCATCGGTTAAGGAGGGGAAAGGGGTTGCTCGGCGAGACAAAAGGCTCCGGTATTTTTCTCTAAAAGCCTGCCCCCCCCCCACGTGAGGCTTTAATTACACGAATAATCTGGCCCCATCTGGCCCGCCACCCGCTCTCTCT